TGGTGTATGGCCATACATGCTCCTGTTTGGTGTGTGGCTGTGCGAGATCCTGGTTACCCTGGGGGGTGGCATTCTTGTTTTGTTGGCTGGTAGCTCTCTGGTGAACAACACATAATCAGATTTCAAGATGATTATGTGACAGAATCTTGAGTAGAGAACTTAATAGTTTTTATCATGATCACTGTTTTTCTGGAAATAAACTCTACAACAACAACAGCAATCTGCATACTGAAAAATGACATGGTAATCTATTATTCAACATGCATATTATCTAGTGTCAACACAGCAAATTCTGAAAAAAGAAATCTCATTTCATCAGATTATGTTTGGTGTTAAAAAATATCTTGGGCTTTTCAATCTGTATATACAGAGCGTCAAGTCAGATGAAATTTAATTAATCGGAATTTCGAAATTCAAAAATTACATTTTTAAATAACATTTAAACATATTTTTACTTCATTAATCAAAAGAATATATTCCAAGACTCCACTTGTGTTGTTTCTTTAACAAGAGCCAAGCCCAGATGCTACAAATAATAAGCTTAAGAAAATGATGTGTTCTGTAAATTAATAACAGACATCAAGATACTTTAAACAAAAAGAACACAAGACACTCACCACAGTGAAATGTGTTGATGTCAGTAGAATCAGATGCTGTGATCCTGTCTGTCCCAATGAGAAACAGGTCTGAACTTAAATACATGAGCTCCGGTAGATGTCCATTTAGAGACATACACTGCAGCTGGTGTTACAGTACACACCCAGCTGGTGTTACAGTACACACCCACAGTGTAACATTTCTTGTAATTGCTCTCACTGTTGCAGGTATGGGGACATGAATTATAATTATAGTCTATATAATTATAATTATAGTCTGTGTTGGCACCGATCTTGAAAACATTGTTCAGATTTACTGGCCTGTGAGCTCCACTCCTGTTCCCAGCACTGCACTACTACTACACTATTACACTACTACACCACTACTTCACTACTACTACTACTACTACTACTACTAATACTACTACTACTCTACTACAACGCTACTTCCCTACAACTACTACTACTACTACTACTAATACTACTACTACACTACTACACCACTACTACTACTACTACTACTACTACTACTACACTACTACATCACTACTACTACTACTACTACTACTACTACACTACTACACCACTACTTCACTACAACTACTACTACTACTATTACTAATACTACTACTACACTACTACACCACTACTTCACTACTACTACTACTACTACACTAATGCTACTACACCACTTTACTACTACTACTACTACTACTACTACTACTACTACACTACTACGCCATAACTACACCATGACTACACTACTACTACACTTCTACAACACCACTACTCCACTACTACTACACCACCACTACTATAACATGACTACACCACAACTACACTACTACTACTCCACTACTACTGCACAACTACACTACTACTACGACACTACTACACTACTACTACACTGCTACTAAACTACTACTACACTACTGATCAGTTGTATAGGATAATTGTATGTCCAGTGTTTCCAGTTCGGTTCACTGTCCCTCAGTGCCAACTTAAAGAGAAAGTGTGAAATGATCAAACCAGCAAATTTGCAAAATGTTCACATTTCATCTCTTTTCCCGACAATATCCACATGTGGCAATTGAAGCATGGTTATTGTTTTATGGTTATGTTCAGGCAACAATGTTAACATTCAGAAAATACTTTGGTCCAGGCTAAATATTACAAATCTGAACACTGATTTGAAGCATAAGATGGGAAGTGGTTATACTTTGAATAATGAACCACAACCCCAACCCTACAACAGGCTTTTTTCTCAAAAATCCATAGCATAGCTTCAGTTTGTGTGTACACTGTACTCCCTCTGCTTTGGGACTGAGTTTCAGAAATTAAATCCTGGCATCGCTCAAGTTCCTCGGCTCCAACAGTACCAACAATAAATAATGTAGATCATGTGTTAAGACAGAACCTGCTTCAATAAACAGACAATATTCTGATTCAGAATGATGTCTGCATGGTGCTGGGAAGTCGATTTTATGATTTTATATTTCCCAGTAACATTTTTGTAAATGACAGATGTGTAGAATTGAGCAGTGTGTGGAGAGTAAGGAGAAAAGATGAGGAGGAGAGCTTGAGACATGTTGTTGCTCTGGAAAGTTGTTCCTGGCTATGAAAGCAGGTCAGCTGGGTGGAAGTGAGTCTGTCCTCATGTGCTCTCTCTTTGATTCACTTTGTCTTAAAACTAACCTCCTGCTGTGGATGTGGCTCTTCATTGATATGTAATTTATTGTCTGTCTCACACATGCCTCACTCTTCTACCAAACAGAAAATGAAAATGAATTTTTCCAGGTGTTGTCATTCATATACCCTCCAGGGTAAGTTCTGTACTGCGTACAGCGACCATTCACCCCTCTGTTCTCATCAACAGGAAGCTGCTCTCAGAAGACAGTGCTAATAAACCCATTGTATGCTACCATGCTCACAGCTGATTAAGTGGAACAACAGATATCTTCTTTCAGGAACTGGTGCAAACCAAATAGAGCTAAAGGAAAAGACACTGTTGGACCTACATTCATCAAGGGTACAGAAAGAAATGAATGATAATGTTGCATTGTGTCTGCTGGATACAAAAGTAATGGTTTGCTAAAAGAAGAAGTCACAAAACAAAACAACTAAAGAACTAAAGAAAAGAAACACAACAAAGGTCTGACACTAAAGAGGTCAGACAGGTTGTAAACAAACCACATATTCGACATCCATCCATCCATTCATCCATCCATTATCCTCATAGGGTTGCAGGGGGCTGGAGCCAATCCCACCTGACATTGGCCAAAGGCGGGGTACACCCTGGACAGGTCACCGGTCTATCACAGGGCTGACATATAAAGACAAACAATCAGTCACACTCATGTTCACACCTACGGGCACTTTACAGTCACCAGTTAAACAAACCTGCATGTGTCTGCACTGTAGGAGGAATCTCAGAGAGAACCCATGCAGGCTCAGGGAGAACAGGGAGAAGATGCAAACTCCACACAGAAAGGCCCCAGGCCCGTGGTTCGAACCCAAAGAGAAGATCAAGGCAGATTCTGAACCATCACACATGAACTGGTCCAACTCTGTCCTGACCCAGAACTGAGGACAGCGTGTGAGAATAGATTATTATTATCAACACTTGATAAACTCAGTAAAGTTTTTGTTGTGTTTCTTCACCTGTCAGACTTCATTGTAACGATGTCACTGTGTTTCCAAATCTGCTCATTCATTTAGTATAATGTTATAATGTGTCGATAACTGAGCCATAATAGATCATAATTATCTTTATTTCTGTATAATTAGTTGAGCTGGAGCTCAGCATCATGTTTTGGATGAGTGACATATATCTGTATGTTGGGTATGTTAATGGACAGTAGACAGCCCCCATGTTATTTTTCATTGTTTTGGGTAATTATTTGGTTCATTCATAAGCTGAATATTCACTTAATATTCACCTGATATATTTTCATGTGTAATATTTTTAGTAGATTAATTTATGGTTACAATGAAAACTCACACAGGCATTTTGTGCAGCTTAGGGGTCCTTTGGATGAGAGGCAGGAGGACACACGGGTCGCTCAGTATAGACCCAGACGGCCTGCGGCCATGTTTGTGTTTCTGTATTTCCACAAAGAAACAAAGGAAAGGAATTATTCTAAACTTGTGCAGAATTCAAAGTCCCTTTGTGTCCAAGTGTGCAACAAATACCAATGTTAACATTTACATTTAGACCTGCAGGTCTAACTTCAGAAACACAGCACTGTGGAGCCAACCTTTCTCCATTCAGAACATACTTTCATTTCCCTGAACACATGTTGAATACACTAGTTACACTTGAGTTTACAGCACACCCTCATCAGGAACACCACAGCAGTTAACTAACCTCAAACTGTCCTGGATCTCTGCTCCACATATTTCTGTCTTACCAAGAGAACAGGACTCTATGTCCCACAGCGCTTACATTCTGTTCCTCTGTTCCCACGCTGATGCAGAGGAACCTGTTAGAACTTGTTAAACCAGAGGGTGCTTAACCACCACTTATGTAATACATAAGGATGTAAGGTGTAAGAATTTGACTTTGCTCCACTGTCGTAATTTTTAGTCATGAAAAACCTATTTTTAACATGCACAAAATTATAATCAAAATAATCACAGCGACCAGAAGAAAGTGGTAGTGAACAAACAACACACAGGTGAACAGGTGTTACCACCCACATCCAGGTGACTCAACTCTCTCAATAATCACCGTGATCACAAAATAATAAATGATTGTTATGACCCTCGGAGTGTTAAAGTGTTGCTGCTCTCTCTCTCTCTGTCCTGCAGTGGAGTAGTGGAGGGAGGGGGCGCAGTCAGTGCCAGTGGGCCAGTGTGTGGCAGCTTGAGAGCTGTGTGCTGTTGTACTCCTTGCTGTGACGGATGGTGCTTCGATTCCTGTGTTTTCTTTTGTTTTTTGACCCTCCATTAAGAAGCTAAGTATACTGTAAAAGCCCTGGTTGTTTATTGTGTTCTAGTTACAAACAACGCTTTGCTCCACAAGTTTCCTTGTGCACTGATTTAGTTTAATAATAAAATTCCTTGGTTTTCCTTACACATTGTTTTGCCTCTTGATCTTTCTTTCTTTCCTCCCAGGACACTTCTTATGTTTGTTTCTTCCCCTCATCCCCTGGTTCTTCATTAGGGAATGTAACACTAACCAATAACAATACCCTCCCAATAACAATATAAAATGTCACAAACCTTAATATTACTGCAAAATTCATTCATGGCTCCTACAAATGTCTCAGTTACTTACTTGGTTTGTAACTTAATTACAACCTGTAAACCTTGTATAAAGGATGTTATTAGGAAGCATGCAATATAAATATGAATAAATGTGGAATGAAGACAGACAGGTAGCAATGAAGCAAATTTCTTTACTGAAACAAAAATGAATTTTACAAAATGTTTGAATGATAATCTGGAAGTCATTTCTCTTCAGAAGGAGACGACAGTGATGGCCTCAGCTCGTCTCCTGTGTCGACAGGTAACATCTTAAAATAGACTACGTGACATTTACACTTCACAGGTCTCTGTGAAAATACACATAAAACATGTTGTACAAAACAACGCAATAAAATAGAATACAAAATACCCCCTCCCCATGTACATCTCTGTTGATACTTTATGAATAAAATAAAGTCCTTCTCCACTGGACTGATGAGAGCAGGGTGTGTGAAGTCTGCAGTCTCACAGCACAATAAGAACAAGTTCAAAGGATGACACTGAAGGCCCCCAGTGACAAGTGCAATGTGATCAATCAGGGAGGGGCGCACAATCTGTAAGACATTTTATAAATGTACAATTAACATTCTGAAACAGGCCTTTAACAAATTAGCAATGGCAACGCACAACTATTCAAACATCCTCACAAACTGGACTTAAATAAAAAAAAGTGCAATGTACAACTTTCAGTAGAAGACTGAGGAAACGACTGGGGAGAGAAAGCGCATTAAAAATCTGAATGGACTCTTTAAAATTCATCTATATACTGTAGAAAAAATAGAACATACATCATCAACCTCTGCAGCGTCACTGCTGACTCCATTACTTTCTTAAAGCACCGTAATAATAAATAAGCTGATAAAAACAAGTCAGCATGTAAAAGCCATATTTAAATGTCATATTCAAATGTGAAGGAATGCAGTTAATAGTTACAGTTAAAGAGGAGAAATAATCAGTGGGTTCAATGGCATTGCTTCCACTCAAAGAATTACTTCATCCATATACTCCATCACTTCTGTTACAACCACGTCGTCTGGACTGATGGCGGTCAGAGTTTATACTCTGAAGTTGCTGGAGATTCTTAATTAAAAACTGTTCTGAGGTAAAAACTTCTAAAACTTCAACTCATGTGCTCAGTGGGCTGCAGTTAAAAGCCAAGAGGGAGAAAGTGGACCTTTGAAATCAGATTGTGTCCGTCACACTGCTGTTACTCAGCCAGTCCTGCACTGGGCTGTTCCTGTCATTTAAACACTGTTCATGTGCAGCTACTTTGTGTTTAGAAAACATTTTAAAACTTTGGACTTTTATGTTTCATGCACAAATCTGCAAAAATCGTAAAAAAATGTCAAAATCTAAAAGTTAAAAATTAATTTAAATCTTTAATTTAAAAAAAAAACTTCAAGCTGTACCCAGTACTGTTAAAAATAATCTAACTAACTTCATTGTCTTCATATGGAAGCTGAGAAAGGCCACACTTAAATATTTTTCTTGAGATAAGAGATAAGCTTTTTTTCTCAAGATAATGGATTAGAGAGTGAGTATGGCCTTTCGCAGCTTCTGTATTTCAAGAAATGGCTGCCACTTTAGTTTTTAATGAAGAATCACATGCTGAAACATCCTGTGCATCCCTCCAGTAGCTGACTGATACAAACCTTCTGGGTGAAGTATTCCTTTAATCAAAGGATACCAGTGTAATGTTGTCTAATTTCTGTCTGTAAAAAGTCTGACTGTCAGTGAGTGGCTCCTTCAAATCAATAAAAATGTATAAAAGAATTATAAAATACATGTTGTGACCTCACCTGTTCTATACCTTTCAGGTTGTATACAGGCCTTTAACATGTGGAGCTTGTGTTGGGTCTGGTTCTTCGTCAGTGTGACGTCTATGTGTTAGATAAGCAACGATCAGTTTCCCCTGACGTCTGACAGTAATGAATGACATTGAGCTCCAGGTCTTGGGTCAGGTTTGGATGAAGGCCTGATTACCAACTAGACAAAGTGCCAGACCCCCAGTGGCCCCTGCTCCACTATAGTACTATAAGGAGATTGGGTCCCATTCTGTAATATTGGGCTCTGCACAGTGGCCCTAAGTCAATATGTAGTTGTAAGGCTTTAATTTTTGTTTAATTATTGTTGTTTATATTATGTTCATATGGTGCATATTGCCAAACAAATCAGCATGGCAGAACTCAATAGAGCCCATGAAGCCGGGCGGGTATCAGGTTTAACATTTCTAGAGTTGAAATGATTAGTCAACTAAACGATTAACCTGAATAAAAACAGAACAATCAGAAAAAATACTCATGCTGTGATGAAACTGTGATGATAAGTTTTCACTTATTTCTGACACTGTATAGACAAAATGATCAGTCCATCAATTGGCAGATTAACTGATAAACAAAGTAAGTATTAGTTGCAACCCTAAACATTTTCATACTTTCATCACAATTTAGTAAATCATACACTCAAAGGAACAGTGTGTAAGATTGAAAATGATCTATTGGAATATAATATTCAGAATTATGTTTATCACCTGAAACTAAGAATCACTGTGTTTCCATTAGTTTAGAATGAGTCCTTCATGTCTACACAGGGAGCATGTCAACAACACCTGAAGGCAACTGTAGAGGGAGGGGGGAGGGGAGGGGTGTTAGGCTACTAAACTCTGGTCCTTTAATAATTTGGGCAAATGAGTGAAATCTCAGAATGTGGAGGTGACAATTTGGTTATTCATTTAAAAGAATCAGTTCAGCATTTACAAATTGTAAATATGAATGAAAACTTTGACAGCTGTTGGGTTGTGTGTGATAGGCACTGATGGCAGCAGGAAAGAAATCAAATATATATCCTTTAAGCTCAGATATGCACCTGAACTGTTTAGTAAAGAGCTGTTTCACATCAAGTTTAACACCTGCCTCGTCTTCTTTATTGGTGCCTCACTGTCACAATGCTACTTTATTGAATGTCATGTTTATATTGCTTCCTACTGTTACATACTGCCAGGCTGCAGGTCAGCGCGCTGCACTGTGTGTGGAGTCCTATGGAACAACTCAAATAACAATACTGCTGTTTCCTTTTTCACAGTCAAACTAACAAAGCAGACAGAACTGTCCTAACAAAGATGAATGAGGAGTAGAAAATAAAAAACAGTCCGAAGCAGGTGCTGAAGGAAGTCATCTGGAGCTACACTCTCTCAGTGGCTAGCTGCTAGGTTAAGGTACAGTGAGCACAGTTCAGTCTGTCAGTGCTGCTGCTGCTGCTGCTGGTGTGTGGCTGGGTGAGCAGACAGGAAGTGAAGGCTACTCCATGATGGCTCTGTAAATCACAGGCTCTATGTAGTCCCCCCTGTAACGCGAGTTGATCACTCTCTGTCTCTTTGACTCCTGGATGATCTCCTTCTCTTCAAAGATCCCATCAAACCTCATGTCTGATGCTTTGGACTGCAGAGACAAACACAAGGCTGCATGACAACACCGCCACATCCTTTAATGTGTCACTGGATTCACACATCCTGACTTTATTACCTGAGCCCACAGGATCAGACAAAACATATCAGGTGAGGACATGTGTGTGGTTTGGGTTGTACTTGCCAGTCTGGACTTGACCCTCTTGGGGAGTTCCTCATCCAGAGTGTAGACATCATCTCTCTTGGCTGTTAGCTGTGACCCATCCTCAAATTCCACCTGCAACCAGAAGAGAAGCACAAACACAACTGAGCTGGACTGCACAGATCCTCACCTGAGGTCATTATCAAACCAACTTATATTGTGTATCATTTTTTTTTAATATAAGGAAACATTCAGCCTCAGTCTGTCCTTCACACAACTACAGTGACTTTGCTTGGACAGGACTTGAGAGGTTTGATGTGAACCTACTCAAATGAAATTAATGTATCCTGTAATTTGTCATGTGCCCTTATATTACAATCTGTCATACTTATTAGTATGACTGCTGTCAGCAGTGATCCAAATCTTTATTTTGCTATTCCTGAAAGTAATCACACTATTGAGATCCTTGCTCTTTAACATCATCATTATTATTACATATTACATTATTAATTATGATCTATCATTGTAATCTGTACAAATTTCAATGCATGACTTGTCTCACATTGACTCATAGACACCATGTTAAACTGAGCTCTGATGTCCTTGTCAAAAGCTACTAGTACAAGGGTCATGCTGAGGAAGAAAATCTGACATTTCCAGAATAAAGTCATAATTTTAGGTTGCGTGTTGTTGGAGAAGGGAAACATCAGAAGCTTTAATAAGAGGAACATGGAGCATCCTGTGAAGTTCTACTTTAGCAGACGTTTCACAAATAAGGAGATACTTCATCTTTTTGCTCATCATCATTAACCATCATCATCAGGACATTGAAAAGACTGTGAAGAAACTGAGTCTGTTCTATTGTTACACAGACAAACAGCAGCTGCCAGAAGCAGCTCAGGTCGACACTGACTGTCCTTTCACCTGTTTGATCGCTTCATGTAATATTCAAATGTTACCTCAAATTCAATGTGTTGGGGAACGACAGATGTGTGACTAGGCTGCATATCAAACCAAATCATCTCTTCAGACCCCAACCCTCAGTTCTGTTTTTTTAGTTCCTTAGTTCCCCAGTTTTAATTTAGAAGGACCAAGTCCTCATCCTCTTGGTGGATTCAGCTCTAGATGACATGTCTTTGATTGTGATGTGCCCGCCCTAGGCCACATTCAGACATTCAACAGCTGCTGATGCAGTAGGGATCAACACAGAGGACTAAAACATCCACGGGGTGATCTGGGAACACATCTGGCGAGGCTCTGAACTGGCCGATCAAACTAACATGAACGCTATAGTTCTACACTTCACCTCAGGACCATCCAGATTAAGATTCAATTATTGATTTTTATCTGCAATTCAGTATTCTGGATTTGATAAGCCTTTGAACTCATCACTGCCTGGGTCCTGTTTCATTGTCTCAGCAATACGTGAAACAACACCCCCACTCCACCATGCCGTTTTAACAGGGCTGATTTATGTCAAATGCCCTCTTAAACTGCAAGGCCACCACAAGTGACAAACGCTACACCTGTAGATCAAATACTGCAATCTAGTTTACAATGAATTCCTGAGAAAACCCCTAAAAGCAATGGTCAATTCCAAAACCCAATACTTTCAAAAAGAGGGACTGATATATAAATCTATGAAAGCCATTAGAAACAGTGGCTTCAGAGAATATTCAGATCCCTTCACTTTTTGCACTTGTAAATTTCATTTTTCCCCCCATCAGTCTACTCTCAATACTCCTTGACAAAATGAAAACATGTCTTTTTGTATTAAAAATTAAAATCTCTCATTTACAGAAGTATTCAGGCCCACCTGTGGCAAACTGTATTGATTGGACGTAGTTTAGAAAGGCAGAAACCTGTCCCACAATTCACACTGCAGGACAGGACAATTACCAAGTCATGAAGTCTAAGGAACTCCTGTAGACCTCAGTGATCAAACTGTGGCTGGACATAGATTAGAGTGACAGTATGAAACCAAACATCCAAAGCTCATTTTCAGCTCACTCTGCCTGTAACAAGCAGAGTGCATGCACGTTGTGCGCCCGTCTGTGTAGGGGCATATTACTCTCTTGATAATGCTCCTTAAAATAAGTGAAATACTGCGCCACTGACTTCAGACCAGACCACAAGTGTATTTTCTATCTAAACAACATGGGCACTGGACAGGAAAATGAAAACTGAGTCGGTCTGAAACTAACAAAAACACTTATGTTGTACCTTGCACCGCTTTGCACCGGGTGTAAGACAGAGCCCTGCGTCGTTGATTCGTACAGGTGGTTGATGCGGGGATGCACTGAGAAAGGAATAAACGTAGATTGTACTTCCTCCATTTTCTAACTGCCCTGACTCTGTCTCCTCTCTCACTGTAGCTACTAAAAATTGACCCATTTTGCCACATGCATAGCTGAGTTTAGCTTACCAGATGTTTACAGTTATCTTTTTCTAGTTATTTTTTCTCACACTGCCCCTCCCATGAGGTTCTCTGGCCTCACACTTTGAAAAAGGCTGGCCCTAAGTTCAGACCTAGTCCCCAGAGGACAAATATGGAGGGACCTGAAGAAGAGTTCACAGACACTTCCCATCAATCTGTCAGGAAGAACATCTGAGGTAAGGGTCTGAAGACTTTAATGAATGAGAAGATTTCAGTTTCAAATTTTTAATAAATTTGCAAACATTTCTAAAAACATGTTTTCATTTGGTCATTATGGGTTTCTGAATGTAGATTGATTTTATCCATTTAAAGTGAAATCTACAACACAATAGAGTAAAGCCATTGTCGGTGTAGGTGCTTCCATCATTCATTATTTTTTTCAATCACTTCAGTGTTATTTGGTTTAGTTATATTCCTTAGGTTACCAATTGTGCTATTAGTCACAGTTAAGTAAACCTGATTATGTGACATAAAACGCACACAAAATACATCAATTCTTACCAGGTACATTTGGATGACATGAGCTGCCACAAACTTGGCCCCGTACACCAGGCCGTCGGTCCAGCGCACCTGAACCACTTCACCCTGAGGTGGGGGTCCAAGCTGAGCACAGTCTCGGCTCTAACACAGAAATCAAACATTGTAGAATTCTTAGCACACTGAACACAGGCAGAGATATTTATATCACGTGAATAATGTTATGATGGACTGAAAAACTTTTTCTCCCGTTGTGAATGGATAAGATGAACAAACATTTTCAGTAACTTTCTGTGCTTCGTTTTTCTTTCAGTGTCAGCGCAATGCATGATGGTATATATTACTTTGTTAGTGACCATCAGTTGTGGGCTGCTTTTCATGATGCATTGTGCGATACAACAAGTTCAATATATAGGGTATATTTCTATTATGATTTATATTTTTATTTCTTTATAATTAATTTTTTCATCAAAACTGCACTGTTTTGAAAATGATTTGTCAGATTTGCAATACCTTGGAGGCCCACAGGTTGGCAACCACTGGTCTATTTGCATGTGTTAAGTTGCGCTGTGTTGAGCTCTCAGGGCCACCGTAGTATTCAAATAAATAAAAGTTGTTTACTAATAAAGGCAAAAAGCACCAAGAGGTGTGGAATTACCTGCAGCTTGTTACAACAGCCCACATTTCCATCTCCACAGCACTAGTTCATCAATAAAACCACAGAGTCGTGTCACACTCACCACTCTTCTGAGAATAGCTTCTGTTTGTAACAGAAATAATGTTTTCGTACTCTAATGAAATCCATGCGGTTCTTCTTTTACCCATGTTAGATATTCTTAACAGGAAACAAGAGGTCTTGGATGTTTTTTCACTTTGAAAGGCTGCAAGACTGTGACAATTGAGTTTGATACTGTGGAGACGGACATTACACTGAAGTTATCAAGACGACAGAGGAAGTTTTGAGCCCATCAAATAAATGTCTGTTTCTTTGTGGGACTGAGCTATATGAAGCCCACTGACACGTCACAACATTGTTAAGACAATGCTACAAGATGTGAGGTGGAGTCAGTGCTGTACACTACATGTTCATGAGCTGCAGAAAAAATGATTGTAGATGAATATATAGATGCCCAGGGATGTAAATATAAATGGAGACAACTACATAGGGGTTGATGTCCTTTAAATTTTTATTACTTCATTTTTAAATTTGTTTCTTTTAGATATGACGACAGAGATAAACCAGGGAAACTTACCACAATGTCCTCCGGGAAGAGATTGTCGCTGAAGGAACCATCATCAAAGTTGACCTCGTAGAACGTTTCTTTAGACAGCTGCACCACGTCACACTGGTAGTAGCGGCCGTTCTTGTGCTTGCATATCACCTTCTGTCCCACAGTCAGCTCGTGCATGGCTGCTTTATTGCGCTGTCACAGGAGAGGCAGGAAATCACATTTTCATTACTCACTATAGCTTAGTGGAAACTGCCTCAGGATTCTCTGACATTTGGGGCATTTTAATGTAATAGTGTAGTCTACAGTAAATCCTTGAAGAAGATGGTATCAGATCACAGCGGCTCCTTACCTCGATCTGAGTGGGGCCTTTGTGTCGACAGCAGGTGACGTGCACCACAAAGGGCCACTCATCCGGCTGCATGAGGACTCCTGCTGCCTGTGCACAGGTGGGGTGGTAGGCAGTGGGACAGCGGCCATGAGAGCACTGCACACAGCAGCCAGACGCCTTCTTCATCCGCTTCTTACAGTAGTAACATTTCTGTCACAGATAAAACCAGAGGAGCCGGGGCTCAGGAAACTGCAGCAGATTTGAAATGAACCAGCGAAAAGATGAAGTGGTTCAAGTGCAGCTGAATCCTACACTTTATAACTTTACATCTTGTAGTACTGATGGCTGGTTAATCCTTCAGTCTCCAGTCTGTCCTCAGTTTGCTCTGATGCAGCATTGATCATCTGATTTATAAAAGGTCTTGTTTTAATTTGCTAATTATTTCCTGTTGCCTTTAGCTGCTTGTTAAACCACTGTCTATGAAGCTCAACAATTCATGGTTTAGGCATTTCAAATTAACGCAGCAGTTTCAAGTACTTCATTCCATGTTCTCCTGCTGGTCTTTAAATGGATCTGTAGGAAATGTTAAGTTTCATGGATGCTAATTTAATAGTTCTAAAAAAGAAAACAATATTTCTGTTAAAGAGAGACACGATTCTGTTATTCTGATGAGTCAGTAATGTGTAAATGTACAGAACCTTGAATCTATCATTAGGTTTGGGCTCGTATTTGATAATATTGAATATTGTAAAATTCATAGTATCTTATCTTTTTTTGGCATGTGACAAATAAAACTTTGGCAGCATTGTTTATACCTGAAACATAAAATAAAAATATACAACAATAAAATTCTAAAATATCATATCGTGATATTTGGGCCGAACTGTATCAAGATATTCAATTTTGGATCTTTATTAGCTATCAGTCTTTATTTGTTGGTGTTAGCTGTTATTTGAGACGCAGCCATTAACAGAGAATGTAACAGTAGTTTATCCACTCCCACACATGTAAGTGATATTTGAACTCACCAGTTTAAATCTCTGCAAAGGGATTCCACTTAAATCCACAGGACTTCTGTCAGTGATGTTGACAAAGCGCGCCTCGAGTACAGCCACTGCACAGAGCACATGTACCCACCTGCAACACACACACACGATATGTTGCCTTTATCAAGCAGGAAGCTGCCTGTTCTGTCCATTTTCTAGATCAATGTGAAACTGAATAGTACACACTCACAGTGTTGGCCAGTATAGTGATATTATTTATTCTCATGCTTCATTTTATGGTTTGGGGAATTACATCAATTTCATTCACCTCTGAAAATGTTTAACTATGATCGGACTGATGGATCAAGACACTGAGACTTTGACTCAAGTCACACTTATAAAATATAAAAAGATAGATGTCACAGCTCCAAGCCACGCCCCAAGCCCCCGCCCACCTGATCACTCAGAAAACAGTCAGCCAATCAGAAGAGAGGCTCAGAGCCTCCTCTCTTCTGATTGGCTCACCGACCTGTTGTTACTGGAGCTCCAGAGAGAAGCCTGAGAGAGGAGATGTTAAACTACACTGCGATGGTTTTTGGTTCTTAAAACCACAGATATATCTTCTGATGGATCAACACTTCAAAGAAAACACAGGGGAAGAGGAAAATATGGAGCTTTAAGTCGCACACATACTAACTTGAGACTCAACTCAGACCTGAAATTTGGGACTCGTGAACAATCTTTGTGTTATTTATCCACCCATGTCTGTTTGATTATTTGTCAGCAGGATTCCACAAACAGTCCTGTACTGATTTGTACCAAACTTGGTGGAGGGATGGAGCATCGGCCAGGGAACAACATGTTCATCCAGACCATTTACTGCGACTTTGAATTTTTAATCGGGAGGCCCAGGAAGATTCTTGGTGGGCTGGGCTGATAAATGCGCTGTGAGGGCGAGAGAGGGAGGGATTAAAAGAGAGCAAGAGGGAGAGAAATCAAGATCGCTGTGTCATGGTGATCATACTCTGGTTTTGTATAACCATCACCTCCCTCACGTCCGCCTCCCCCGTGAACTACGTTTGGTTCGGACAGGAGCAGAGGAGCATAGTGAGTTCAGGACTACAGCTCCCAGTGAGTCCAGTTTTACAGGCAGACGACAACAGGAAGCTAGTTTGGGTTTTTTTAGAGGTATAATGTTGTATAGCTTTGTTTTCTGCTAATACGCAAATGAAAGTCCTCAAAGACTGTGTGATCAGCTGATTGTTCTTCCACTGCCTCCCTGATGTGTGATGTTTCAGCCTTGGTGGCTCTCTGTGCTACCATACTGACATTAAGGAAATGTCTGACGAGCTGAATCATTCCCTCTGACTGATAGCTGATTGTTAGTGAGTGTTAAATCTGTAACCATGGCAACATGCTGGGCCTGACCTAGTGCAAACATAACTGATATTTGATGAGTTATAACCAATACTCTTTGCTAGTGTGGTTGTAATTTTCATCGTCATCCATTTGGCAAGTAGCCAAAAAGATCAGTGTTCCGAATTAGTATGACAAATGTCAGTTCCAATAACAATAAATATCTCTTTCATGTGTGACCAATATCTATAAGTAGTAAATTTGAGTGAAGTATCACCTCAAGTTTCATTTTCTCTGCTCCCCGGAAACATATCAGTAAATTCATGTTTATTATTCATCAGATACCACTGTATATTGGCCACATCCTGTTCATCCCTACAGTTACATAATCAGTTGGATCATGACTCAACTTTGCACCTTACACCAGTTTGGTCAGAATAACTAAATATGATCCATTTTGAGGATTAAGTGCACAATTACTAAAACAGTTTCATTTCCCTGATGCCTGAAGACACTTACTTGTTATTGTTGGCTTTCTGCAAGGCTCCACCCCTCAGTGAACACAAGCAGCAATTCTGCAAAAAGGACATGTCATCAATCAGCTGTCCAGACAAACAATAAAAACAAAATCTCTCTTTCATTGTTGTATTAAGTAACAAACAAAAAAGTCAACTTTAACTGCAGCCACTATCTAACCCAACGGTTACAACCACAGCAGCTGCAGAACTGACAGAGGCTAGGGCTGGGCATTTAATCAAATTTTATGAACGATTACAATTTGGGCCTCCAACGATTATAAAAACAAGATAATCAAGGGAAATCGATTATTGTGCAGCGTTGTGTTTCACAACAAATTCCTGCCACCCTACAAAAACCATCCAACATTATCTGTTCTGCTCTCGGTGCTGAAGGAAAATAGATTTTGTATTTGTTGTTGCAACATAAGAAGTCCATCTGCATCTCTCTCTCTCTGACCCTGTGTGTGAGGGGCTGAACTGTGTTCATTACATTCATTCAGTCATACAGAGACGACGACGGTGAGCAGAAGGGCATTGCTAGCTGCAAACTCAAGAGTGTTTTTCAGAAAGCTAACCAGTGATTGTTCTTAATCAGGAAGCTGAGAATGTTGGGTGATAGCCAACACTTGAAATGTCATACAGGAGCCTTGTTGAAAGCATCTCATCATTCAACATAACTTGGTTCAGCAACTTGAGTGTAAAGGCTAAAACATGCTCTCCAAAACTGTTAACATGCAGGGAAGGTGATCGGCATGTCACAAAAAAAACTTGAATATATTTGACAGAGCTGTACACAGGAAGGCTAAACACATAGCTGCTGATACCTCACACCCACCACACTCAGAGTCGGTCTGATTCAGAGCCCCGAGGACCAGCCGGAACATACGTCTGTCCACTGGCACCTAGTGTCTTTTAGAATAGATTTAAAGGTCCTTTTACTTGTTTTTAAAGCTCTTCATGGTTTGGGACCTAAACTGCAGATTCTCTGTCATTTTAAAATCTGTCACCAGCTCTCAGATATTCTGCTCTCAGGATTTTAAATACACACAATTTTATGCACAAGAAAATAGGCAGTGCAGCTTTTTTTTTTTTTGACTAACTCTAAAACTATGGAAAACCTGCCAAGAGCTGCAAGAGATGCTCTGTGAACATTTTTAAATGACATCTGAAAACATATTTAGTTAACTAGTCTTTTAATAAATTCTCTCACAATTATTCTATTCTTACTGGTTACTGTTTTTATTTTCATTCACATATGTTCTGTAAATAATAAAATAAAAAAAATTATAAATTATTTTTATTATTTATATATTTTATTATTATTAAAATTATTGTTAAATCCATTGAACTGTCTACATGAGCCTCTGCATGTCAGCAGAGATATCTCAGCTCCAAAGTATACACGTGTTCACTGCAGCATCATTCAGTGATTATTTGACTTTCTATGTAAAAGAGCTGTAGGTACATCAAAAGTGGTGTTATCACAGTAAGACGAAAACTTTACCTACATTACTAACCAGATTTATAAGTGAAAAACTGAGTGTGAAGAACAAAGAAGGAAAAGTGCTTGAGCCGTTATTAGCTGTTAGATTTTATTCTGAATTTTGAACATTTGACTTAGTTAGGAATATTTCATTTGTGAAAAACATGAGCTGTAGGTTGGTAACAGCACACATAATATTTTGCAGACCATTACAGTTGACCGTGAGAAATAGATTGGCCAGTGAATTACTGAAAAGGCAAATTAAACGACCATACGACATGTGGAATAAATTTACCATGAAGGGTTCACTGACCTCAGTCATGGCATTAGCCTTGCAGCGCGCACATTTCCAGTCCTTGCTCACACTGGCTGGATCCACACCATAACAACCTGTAATATAACAACACAAAGATGCAGTTGACAACTGTTCATCCAGTCGAATTCAAACTGAGGACAAGAAGTGTTGACTGAGAAGGAAGAGGATTTTTGAATGAGCAGTTCTTAGACATCACTTGTCTACATGTTACTTGAAATAAAGAAAAGCACTGAAGTATACAGAAGGGCAGTACAGCACCAGGACAGTTCAAAGCGTGCACATGCCAGGATCTTCAGAAAGGAGGAACACAACTGTGACAGCACTTTCCACACTGTCATCCACTCCACACTGGAAATGTGGTTACCGGTTTCACAGTAAAAATGCCAGACAGTTAGTGTTACCGTTTAAATTTGAATTATCACTATAACTGTGGTCGATTTCCATGGTTAATTTGACTCACCTTAGGTTCTATAAAGCATCAACATGGCAGAAGGCAATAGTGCTCCTCCGGAGATTTTTCAGCCTTCTAAAAACTTTTAACACCAAAGTAAACAGGTATAACATGGGTCAATCGGCTAAAAAGGGCGATTGACTCCTTTTACACTGCCAGACAAGTTTGCCTTTCTGTTTGGACTGAGGACACACACAGCGGAGAAACATTGAGCTGCTAGCTGTCGTGCAAACTGGATAAAAGCGGGTTGGTGCTCCTGTCAGTATTGGAGCGCAGTGTAGCTGCAGTGTTTCTGGTTTAACAGCACTGTGTTGGACAGGTGACAGGTGTGTTTACAGTGTCTGTGCTCTGAAAGACGGCAGGAAAATGAAAATAATAATAATAATAATAATAATAACAACAATAATAAACACATTCGCTATTCCCTTGTTAACAGAGTGGGCATGCAGCAGGCAAACCCAGTACTGCTACTCGTCCTCTGTCCCTCTGTGTCACATGTGTTGGACATGTTTTTATTTTAAAGTTTAAATGCAAACATTCACTTGGTGAAATGATTTCAGGTTGTGTGTTATTACTTTTTGGTCTTTTAAGCACATTTTTACAACACCATGATAATAATAACTATGATAATTTTGGTCACTATAATCATGATATCAAATTTCATCTCTAATCCAATGCCAACTCCAGCAGTGTCAAAAAAAGACAGACTGATCACACAGTCCCTCCCAACAGGCACATTCTGAACGGGCACCTCAACAGTGTTATTGCAAAGCTGTTGCTGCTCATTTGCAACCAATATTCTCAGTTCAGGTGTTTGTGTACTGACTGGTGTGGACGCGGACACTGCACTGAGAGCAGGTGATGAGGAGGCTGGTTCCATCTTCCTCCAGGTGAGGTGTCACAGGCTGCTGCTCACACTCAGAGTCCTCATCTGTGGTGGTGGTGAAACACATCTCTGGGATCAGAGGTTTGGTCCGCATCCACCCCCCAGGCACCATGACAGGACTGTCCACGCTGTTGGCACATTCAGTCTGACAGCAGACAAAGCACACGGATACATGGAGCTTCCAACGCTGGACAAAGACTAATATCGTACAGACAAAATTTTGAATATTTCAAAAATGATGAGATATATCACTGAGAAAAGTAATACCACCCATTTCTTGCTTTGTCAGCAATCCCACCAATTAATATGAAGGAATGAATTCAGTATTTGTAGGCACCTCACTACCAATACACAGCTGGAGTGGACAGCCTGGAGCTTCAGTTCAAACTGCTCCAGTAACTTGACAGGGAGCTAAGAGAGAGTTAAGAGTTTCAAGTCATGGACTGGGTTGAATTTGAAGGGGTTTTCCAGCGTTTTACTACTTTATACATAACAAAATGGTCCAAATTGAAGTCACAGAGGCCAAGATATCCCAACCTCTGGTCCCTGGTCACATTCCACAAGCACTGGACCTATGTTTCCCATAAGGCAACTCTTTCCTTCTTCCTGCCTCATAAATTGCCACCGAGATAAGTCTGATGATGGCGTCTATTTTGTAATTTGTGTGCAGCAGTTTTTCCTTTTCTCCATGAGGCACCTGCTGGTCTCTGTAATGTGTGGTGTATTCTGTGTGCTGGTGCAGGTCAATAGATGAGTGGTGAGGACTGGTGAGTGGGATCCACTGAGGTGCAAGTTACCTGCTGGTATGTGTGGAACAACATGCAGATGGAGCAGTATGGAGGTTTGGAGCCCATGCGCTGGTTGTACTCCCTCTCCTTCTTCAGGTTGGGGGGTCTGCTCTGCCACAGGTGAGCCAGGGGTTTAGCCCAACTCTCCCCTTCCAGACCACCCTCCTCTACTGGGGGGGCCTCTTCTGGAGCCTCTGCACAACAGCATAGTTAACATTCTCATTCAGATCAGGTAACAACTAGAGAGAGGATATTAGAGACCTGAAGTACATTTCTATACATTAGACATTCATATCAAGTTGTTACTGTTGATGTGACTGACCGTCATCACTCATGCCGTCCTTGATGAGTGGATGGTGACCCGGCAGCTGTCCTAGATCACTCTCTGGCTCTCCATCCTCAGCCACCTCTTCTGCCACCTGCTGTAGAAACACACCTACTGTTAGCATCAGCCTCTGTGGTGGAAACATACTGGTAGTTTAGCATTTGTGCACCACATAGGTCCATCAGAGTGAGCAGTCATTATCTCTAGTTTGTCTACAGTGTCTCAATGCAGCAGTTTAAAAACACTCTTGTATTCAAGGATGTTCTGTTGTTTGGGTTAAGAGCTGGACAGTGAATGGTGTCCTCTAAATCCACATTCACTCTGTTAACATAAGTGTTTGCTTAACTGTTGCTTTTTTGGAGTTGATGGTCCAAAAAATGCTTCTAACCCACATTAAAACTTTTCTGTTTTTTCATATCTCTGTGTTTTGCCTTATAAAGTTGTCATTTTCATAAGTTTCACTAACTGCTACACAACCTCAGCTAATCATATATGTCACTCAAAGACTTCTGTACAGTATAATAGAGGACAATCGACCATAAAATAACAAAAAATGGATCTTGAATTTTTCCTATTTTATAGATAAAAGCTGCAAACCATAACAATGAAACTTAACTTAAACATAGAAAGTGAGTAGTATTTATGGTCGTTTCTTTTCTTCTCATTGAAAAATCAGCTCCAAAGCCTCTGCTGCACTAAATACCTGACAGAAAACAGAGGGATGTGACCAGTCACTACTAAAAACTCAGACCAACTTCTCCTCAACACAGCCAAGCCATGCCTCTGAATCAGATAATCTGATTGGCTGTGAGAGCAATGACAAAGATGGCGGATGAGAATCGATTGATAAACATACAGAGGCAAAGCAGCAATGTGCCAGACAAACAGCCAGTAAGATTATCCATATCTTTTCTAACTGTTCATATTAGTTTATCGACCAAAGTAAGTGACTCACACAGACAAACAGGGGCATGTTGGAAAGTGCAGATTCTCTAGTTGAACATGAAAAAACAACATGTCTCTAGTTCAAACTATCGCAGAGTTATGACACTCTAAAGACAACATGATATTTGGGAGCGTATATGAGGGCTAACATATCTTAGCATTCCTGAGAGCAACACCAAGCCAAAGACTACATGAAAGGCAGTGAGCTGATCACTTCTATGGTTTCAAGTCTCAAGTCTTAAAACTGAGATTTCATAAACCGCACTGAACCAAAAGAAGAAAACATTAACAATAGTGTCGGGTGTTCACAGCTTCTGCTGCTGAGATGCTAAAAGATGCAGAAAACACAGCTAATGTGAAGAACAGTATTAGGTGTGTGTAACACCTGCATCCACTCACTGCTTTGCTAACGTGCTTGTTGTCTTTCTCCATCTCGTGGTCACTACTCTCACTCTTCCTCTCCTCCCTGGGCGGGGCTTCTCCCTCTCCGTAGTCACCTTTGGCGTAGCTGTGGACGTGCAGGACGTCTGCAGGGCTCAGCGTCCTCTGAAACAGTTTGTGTGCTGGGCTACAGTTGATGCCGAGCTGAGGCTCCACGCTGCCGCTCGCTTCCTCCGAGGACAGAGCCACTACCTGGCTCTCAACAGGCTCAGGAGGACAGACGTCTGCAGCCGACTCACCACTCTTCTCCTTCTTTGATGGACTTCTTCTGTTTGATGTTTTCTTAGCACTGGCTTTGGACTGAGATCTAGACTGTGGCCTGGAGTCTTTCTCCTTCTTAGGCTCCAGCTTCAAATTCACTTTGTCTGAAAGAATAATACAGATTAACACATAATTACAACTACTGACACCACATACTACATGAAGCTCATCCTGAACCAGTACAGTACATTGGTTAAATATGTCACTTCCTCCTGTTTCTTATACCTTATGAAGTAAGTTGTTTGTGTGGATATATAGGGCTACATATTAGTATTATAGTAGCACAGTGATTTAAAGTGAGTTTCAAACAGACAGCTTTGGCTTGTTTGCTGCAGTAAAATAATTATCGGCACAATATTTTCATGTCAATGAAATGTTGATGTTTAAACATCAGTTTCTACTCAAAGGCTGAATCTATTTTTTGACTTAACACCAATAGCAACAACTGAAACAGAGACCTCTACTGACTGTGCAGTACCTTTATCTGGTTTGACAGAGACTTTAGTCGGGGACTCTTTGCGTGAGAGCTTGGCCCTCTTTGGCTCCACTGCCTCAGCCTCCTTCACCATAAGCTCAGGTTTGATGTCTTCAACAGCTTCAATCAGACGCTTCGTCCCGGACTGAAGCTTTGGACTGAAGCAGGGGAGTAAAGGGATTAGTAAAGACTGACAGGGTTCAACAGGAAACACTCCAGTAACAATGAAATTCAGTCACTTCTGGACCTGAGAGCAAAACTCCAGAGCAACACACTGGGTCAGTTATCACGTGAAAATTTGTTCCCGGCACAGGAACGTTGAAGTTATAATCTTTAAATATTCCACATTAAAATGTCTAAAAACAACTACACCTAGGTTCTATATGTTGTTGAGTTGTGTTCTTACACATTTCCAAGAAATTGCCTGCGATTTTAATCATGGTACCAGTACTCGAGGAGGAGGCGCCCATGTTGATCTGCATTATTTAGTTGTATATGCAGATTAATAAGCTAATTTGGAAGCTGAAGTCTTGTGTTCTGTGCTGAGCTGAACCCACGGATGAACTCACTTTCTCTTGTAATCACATTTATGATTGCAATATTTTTTAACATGGGCTGTGCTGTAAGTAAAGTAAGTAAACAAGTAAAGCTTGAATTGAGGATAATTTCGTAATGATTACTGATCATTAACATGGCCACAATTCACATCCATGGTAGAATCAACACGGAATGTTGTAGAGATGTATTATTAGTAAATCCAGACCTTTTGTCCTCCTGGACTGGAGCAGTGGGTTCCACCGATCCAGCTTCACTGGGACTCCCTTTTGCAGGCTCGGTCTTGTTCTCCTTCAGAAACTCGGCAGCTTCTGGTGTGGGTTTGGTGTGGTCAATGGGAGCGTTGTCTTTTCCCGCCTTCCATAACTTGTAACGACTGGGCTGAAACTTGCGCACAAACACATCCATGGAGATCTTCACCATGTCCTGACGGCACGAACACTGGGAGGAAAACATGGATCAACATTTTAGTCCAGGTTGCATAAGTCAATGATAGGAACTTTAATGTTGTCGCTGACCGTCCCCACTTGTACTTGTTTGCTATCTCAGTCTGATTCAAGTTAAAAGATCACATCCATAGCAAAAACAGGAGAATCAAGATGGATAGCTGGTTAGCAACAGGAAGAATTAAAAGGAAAGACAGTCAAGAGACAGATGGTCAATCGACACGTGACCTCTTCCCCCGTCAACAAAAAAGAAAAAGTTGACTTTTTGAGTTACAGGATGAGATGCAGGTGTTTTTTCTGGACACAAAGTTTGAACTGACATCTCCTCAGTGATTTTGAGCGGTTGGCTACATTGGGTTACCTGGCAGATATTTTCAGCCACTTAAATGGACTTAACCTCGGCCTCTAGGGAACAGCAGTGAACATGTTCAATGTCCAGAATAAAGTCAAAGCCACCATTAGAAAAATGGAGCTGTGGGTTAAGCGAGTCGACCAGTCAAATTATGACTCCTTTGAAAATCTGTCAGATTTTGTGACAAAGGAACAGATTTAGTTTCCCATCACGGTGACCAAAGCTATCAAAGAGGACCTGCAAAGTTAATACGAATACTTTCCCATCCCAGATGTGCAATACAGTTGGATAGAAAACACATCTGCCAGACACAGTGACAAGGCCCTCGCAGCCCTGAGCGCAAAAGAGCAAGACAGTCTTGTGGATCTCTCCTGCGACGCCACATTGAAACTAGTTTTCTCACAGAAGTACCTGGCTTCATGTTGCTTCTGAGTGTCCCGATCTGTCCGACAGAGCTGTGAGATTTCTAATGCCTTTCCCGACAACATACCTCAGTGAGACTAAAAACTAAATATAGAAATAAACTGAATGTTGAACCAGATCTTCGACTGAGACTGTCTCATTAGGTGAGTCAACATGTTGTTGGCCTATTGTTGAACTGGTCCACTGCCGCTCTAAAATTATCAATAAGTAAGAATTTTGTTTTCTTGCAAATGTTGTTTTACTTATTTAAATGTTTTTCTTCTGGTTATGCCTACACGCTGAATTTACAATATCATCACATTGAATTAGTGTCTGTGAGCCAGCAGTGGATGTTTCAGACAGAGCAAAAGCGCAAACACATACTGTCTTTGTCTATGTGGGCAGTGGGAGGGAAACCCACTGGAAATGGACTGTTTTGAAAACCATACCATCTTCATATTGTTGGCAATTTTATAAAAAGCCACAAGTAAGAGCACAATGTTTTCATTTAGTTTCTTTGCAACAATGGCTTTTGCCTGTATTTAAGTTTCTTCTGGCTATGCCTGTGCTGAATATACAACACATGCAGACCTTCATAGGTTTTAAGTTTGTTTATAGGCATATCGATTTTCTCATTTGTTGAATGATACCATTATATAATTCAAATTATTTATTCCTTAATTAGCCTATTGCAGACAGCCGGTTTTATGTAGTGCTGATGGACAGCTCCTTGAAAACTCTGTAATAGTGAAAGTGTTGCAACATGTTTCAGATGCTGTGTTAGTGACTGGAGCTTCCGACCTGCTTCCCCTGCTTTCTGCAGCATGTTTGCCTGTTATTATTGCAACAAAAAGTGCTCTGAGAACCCATTATTTGGCCTCCTATTGTTATGGGGTTGGATGTGGGCCGCCAACATTTTTGACATTTTCAAGTGGGCCATAGGTTTCACATGTGAATTTACATGGGCTTCACACATTACACCACAAAACTGTTCCAAAATCACGTTTCCCATGTGCCAGCAAATGTGTTCCACATATTTCATAAGTGATTTTAACATGTTTACACATGTTAAATTTCACATGTGCAAAAATAACATGTACATGTGATTAATCAAGTGACATCACAGTCTACACAAAGGCTGAATTACCAGTGTTGCCTGTTTCCCGTAATCAATCCATCGCTGGGTGGCAAAGTTGGTGGACTCGGCACAGTTGAAGCCATGGTTGAACCCAGCGTGATAGCCAAATGGGAACGTCACAATAAACTGCCCTGCCTCCTGAGTTACCTGAATACACAACAACACACACAATTACAAGGGTAGGCACCATTTTAGTTGAAACTTTCCACTTTCTTTTTATCTAATCATTAATTAATCAATTTTCTCCACAAAGTCATGACATCAAAAAGTAAATAAATGGTCACCTTTTCAAATGGGATGCCATATTTCTTCAGGATGGAGGGTGAAATTAAAGTCATCTTGTGGCGCAGGAAGGCCTCACAGCCCTGAGCATTCCCTGGAAAGAAACCTGTAAACACAGGAAACCATCAACACAGATCACATCAGCACCCTTTCTGCTTGTGTTTATGTTTTTTCATTTACATTGTTAAATAAACATGATTGCTGTTGGTCTCTGAGGTACTTTCCATACAGAACAGAAGTTCACTGAAAGCAGTTTTGACTTCCTCTTTAAAACCACTGAACATGAGAAGATCAAGAAACTTAACAGTGCGAAAGGTCCATTTTCACAGGGGATTTAAGACAAACACGATAACTACCTGTTGTAGAATATTAAAATGCATCTATGAAGTTCTGCAAGAACCCATGACGTACCCTTAGCAAGGCGTTCCAGTCTTTTCCCATGCTCTGGAGGGACAACATACCTGAGGAGCAACAACATTACAAGTTTATCCAGTGTGATGATGGCCTCCTCTGAACACTACAATCTCTGTGAAGCACGTTTTACTTGGGACCAGACCTCTGCTTGGTTATGGTTGTTTGTTGTTTATCAGAACAAAGACTAAAAGTAAAAGCTCCTCTCAACAACAGTTGGACACTCATCTTCACAAAGGGTCACAGGGTTACTGTAGTAATACATTCATCAGCAATGGCCAATAATACAAAGACATCGATGGGTAGAAAAAAGGTTCATCTTTGAGGGTTTCATCTTCCACAAGAAATGTGTAAAGTGTAAAAGTGTATCTAACACCAGATTACACAATGTTATCCTTCCTGGAATGAATGTAAACCTTCCCAAAAGTGAAATGTTTCTTTACTTTGTTAATATCAGTCAGTCAGAGAGACAGACAGACAGACATGCTTTATAGTTAGATTTGATAGTTAGATGTCTGCTTCCTGCTGCAGTCCTGTTTCTGCTCCTCATAACACATTAGTGTCTGTATTTCTTAAGCTGTGTTTCGACCAAAAGGTAACTGGAACTTTATGTTCCAGGTACGCGCTTCCACCGCGGCCTAGAGTCCCAGGAAGAAGCAAAATTATTACTTCACATTACAATATTCACAGCACTGAAAAATACAGGACAAATTGCATCCTGTATGCATTCAATACAGGACGCAGCATTTTATTTTCCAATACGGGACAATCCCGTATTATACGTGACCGGTGGCAACCCTAGCCATTCCAGTTGTTGAGGTCCTTTATTTTTTTGAAGTCCAGTTTCAGTTTTTTTACATTCTCCAGGACATGTTTCACGGTGTGGAAAATATGTTTGCTCGCTCACTCCCTCCCTTCCTGTGAACTTTTAATCATGGCTGGTGAAATAAAATGCGGAGAGTACTCGACCAGTCAGAAATGGTCAGCACTGAAGACCACATCCCCCAAAGTTCCTGAACCTTTGGAAAGTACTACCCCCCCCCGACCAGGGACTTTTTTGGGGGTCGATCAACTACCCCGAAACTAAATTTAGACCCTGGTTCCTGCGGTGAAAAAACGCATAGTTCCTACAAAGGTTCCTGGCAAAAGTTCCTGCTGTGGAAACACGGCTTTAGTGTTTCTTAATAATCAGGAATGGAGTGGGAATAAAAATCTGCCCCTGACTTTTGACTTGGACTGGCAAATTACTACTGTCTATGTACTGTCCTGTCCTGCCAGCTAGTGGTGACTGAGGGGTTATGAGTTTTGCACCAGAACATTTCAGATGTCACACTGAGTGATAGTAACCATAGTAACAGTCCATGTGCAAAGAGCTAAGGTTAGCTAAGAAGTGATGTTACCAAGCAGCTGGGGACTGTTTCAGTTCAATGGCTAATAAAAAAAATATATCCATTAAAACGTGTCCTTCAGTTACATGAGCCTGTGGTCACTGTGTTTTGTTTTATTGGCACAGGAAATTTGTGAGGTCCTGCCAGCGAGGGGTGACTGACAGGTTATGAGTTTTGCACAGAACATTTCAGGTCTCGTGCTGAGTGATAATAGCCATAGTAACAGCAGGAGAACACATGCTCCATTGCAGTCACAGTCAGCCTCGGTTCAGTTTGTCATTTGCTAAACTAATAAATTAAATATATCCCTTCATCCAGAAGGGGTTCCAAATCAGAGCTCTGTTCGTCCCAAACACATTTTCTACCGTCTCCGGGATGAAGGGAGGTTGTTAATCTCGAGGTTTAAATAGATTTTTTTCAAGGTTTCTGTGTAATTCTAGTTTCCATGCCTAATGTTCTCTTGTTCATTCAGTCTTCATTGAATATATTAATAAAAATATAAATATTCATCACTACTTTATACACAGATTCACTGTGTTGCTGGTTGTTCCCGTTCCCAGTGGTTCTGTATTGATACATTTATAATCTGATTGTTGATGTTGCACTGAATCACATGTTTTCTCATCATCTCACTAAATCACTTTATATCTTTCAGGGCATGTAAAATGTTTTTGATTCATATTCTTGAATCTGCAAGTCACTGTACATCAGTGGTGAGTCAGGTCTGTTGATAACTTTGCTGTATTTTTACATTTAGGTAAAAAACAGATGCTGCTTGTTCAGATGCGGCAATGAGAAACGTGTGACATATGTGTGCAACATAGTATGAGGGGGTGTCGGAGACTGTACCAGGACTTGGGCTCTCCAAAGTGCAGATAGTTGATGCTGTACAGATCCATGTCTTCAGTGTGCCACGCAAAAGCACTCTTCCACATCCCAAAATACAGGTAGGGTGTGTTGACTCCTTTGATCTTGATCCCACTCTCATTCTCCACAGTGTCCAGAATGGTGTTGAGACGGCCGATGTTCCATTCAGTAACATCCTGCAAAGGAGTGATTCAGCAGCTGTAAGTCACAGTAAGTAACAACCTTTATCTGATCAAGAAAACCAGACATTACTAGAGATGGTCGTAAGCATAAAATAGTTGTTCTAGTACAGTGAAGAGATTTAAGTTCCAGTTGATGGCATTATCCAACTTATTACCACTCACTGGATCATAGAGCGTTCCACTGACATCAGCCCCATAAAGTGGAGGGTTGAAAGTCAGGTTCTTCCAAAACTTCCTCTCCAGCTCGTCAAAGTCCACATATCGGGGATTGCAGAACCTACAAGGAGAAATGTTTTGAGATATTCAGTGAAAATCATCTGAATATGCAAGAGCGCTCATTTCAAAGTCACTATACCAGGTTGTTTACGTTATAATCTTAGAGTTAATGTGTGAAAAACTTTTATCAACGATAATTTGACTATGTAAACTGACTTATCCATGTTGGAGGTCTTGCGGAACTCATGGACGGTCATGGGTTTCTTCTGGATGTTGTATTGTGTGAACAGTCCTGACTGGCCGGTCACCACCTGCTGAATGGGAGCAGGAATCACGAGGTCATCAATGTCATCATACGTCCGTCTAGGCTTCCAGTCTTTAGGGGGAATAACCTGCAGGAGATGAAGAGCACAGGAACTCATTGACAACAGTGTTTAAAGAGGAGCAGCTCAGAGCGGCAGAATGGAGAGTGTGACATGACCATGATGTTCAGCTGATGAAAATATGTATAAACATGCACACTTCAATAATTATTTCCAATTGCTTCAACTGCTACATGTGACTTTAGATGCTCCTTCAAGTAGAGTCTGAAATGTAACAGCTGCTGTCTGCACTATTCCCCTAACTACCAATCACTATCACTCCCGATCCTACATCTTTCATCAAAGCTTCACAAAACTTTGGTACATACCATGTTTGGATGACTATGAACTCTCAGTGACCACTCCAATCAGTGTTCATCACCATCATATAATGAATAATCCGACATTAACAAAAAATGTACAAAACTTTTGTTTTTTTCCCCCCCAAATGTTCACATCAGTAGGATTTTCAAAATACAAATATCAAAAACATGGAAAACCTTCTAATTTTCAAAATATAGACTATAGATTATAAAGAACAATAAAAACTAAATAACTTCAAAGCTGGCACATAACTATCCGACCTTGTAAGGCCAGTGCTCATAAACACATAAAGTCCCTTTAAGGAGGTTTACTGCTGAACAGTGTTGGTAACAGCAATTTTCTTGATAGATTTAGATTCTTTTTTTCATAAAAGCAGTGGGCAACATATATACAGACTTTCAGGACAGACCTTATCTCCTCTTCTTGTCAGAGAATGAGCTCTGATGTTGCTCTGGACTGATGGTGTTTAGTGAATGGGACAGAGCAGCAGCACATTCAGTTGACCAATCACCAGCCAGACAGAGACATGAGTGGTTGTACCTAATTACTGCGTGATCTACTGCACGTCGTGTGATGTAGAGATTCGGTGTCTGGCCAATTTTTCACATGACACGTCTCACAGCAGAAACAGACAGAGAAAAGACTAGTTGATGTTTTATTGACATAGCAGCAAGGCTGAATCTGAATATGAATAAAAATATATATATTTTTTTACCATTTTAGCAGCTGTATGTGGAGACAGTGAAATTTTACTGACATTTTCTGTTAAAAATAAATCAGAAATTCATTTATAATGAAGAAAAATCCAACATTCCAGTAACCTGCAAACTCTATGTAGAGACAGAGCTGCAGCAGCAGAGACGCAGCACAGACACAGCCAGTGTGAGTACACACACACGCAAGCTGCAGCAGAAACAACACAGCCACCATGCACATGCAACGCAGGCAGTGTGTTCCTGGCAACATTTTTCCATCTATTCATCAATTTTCTGTACTGCCTGCTATGGCCTTCTAATGACTAACTACTGAGCAAGGGAGGGCTAATAATGATGTCCTGTTTTAGTATAAATCTGCAGATTATCCCAACTACAAACATGGATTACATTTAAGGAGAGACAATCAGTCAGCACAATGTTTCATAATGACCTGACAAAACACAACAGACTCTACTTACTTTTGCCATTCCAGCTTTGTGTGCTCCTTGTGACTCCATATAGGCAATGTACCGGCTGAAGTCCTTGAACTCCTCTTTAGAGGGGGTGAACGTCATTATCCTGGAGGGGATGCTTTGGGCTGGTGTGTCTGTGGTCATCTTGTCTTGGGATTGTTACTCTGACTGGTGGAATAAAAATGGAGATGATCATGAAAACATTTAGGTTACATGTCTGTCAGTTACATGTTTGACAATGTCTGACTCATTTTAAAGAAATACATTTTAAACTCTTTTCAGCATTGGACCCAGTCTGCATCAGTTCACATCACTGGTCTGTCTCAAGTTCAGGTTTCTCTACAGTGAGGGAGGGGGAAAGTAAAGGGATATTTCCTGGCCAATTCTCTGTTGTTAACAACTGAAAGTTACTGAAATGTTACTAGATATCATAATAGCCTTAAAGCCGTTTAATTAATGCTTAATGCTTTTTCTTCATCCAGACCACATCCAGCTCAAAAACTACCACATCTACACTAATAAAAACCTGGACTTGTTAATCAAGTACACCCGAGAGACTGTTTAAAACCCTATTTCACATTTGTGGAAGTTCTTGTTTTTCTCCATCCAGACCATGTTAGACAAGGTCCACAAAAAAAAAAACAATTTAGACCACATGAGACCAGGTCCTGTTTAAAAACCACTACATGCTAACTTGTCAAACCTGAACTAGATAAACAAGCAGATTCCAGAGACCAAAAAATGCATGTTTCTCTTTTTTCACAATCCTAAACATATTTCAACTAAAGACCCAGAGCATATATGTACAGTATACTGTGTGTATATATATATATATATATATATATATATATATATTCGGAGGTGGACAAAGTACACAATACAAGTGAAAGTTAAAGTACTGGAGCACTTGGTTTTAAAAATATTAAAGTATTCAAAAGTATATTTAGGAGTTGGCTGTGATTGTATTTTTCTACTTTGATGAACAGTGTATAGTGTATCACATTTTCAACATAAAATAAAATTAGTACCACTGACTAAAAGGAGGAGTAGGTCATAGAAGTGCAGTGGAGTCGAAGTAAAGACTTCTCATTAACCTCCATTAGTTATGTGATGTACAGTTAAAAACCAGAGAAGACGTTTAACTTTTAGGCAGCATGCTGCCGTGACTCCTGACTGATTGTGATTCTCAGCCTGTGATTGGGTGAATACCACGTCTATCTCACCGTGGCCCACTGACAGCGCTGCTCCTCGAAAAAATATTTAGCTAGTCCGCTAGCTAAAATGCTAACTGCACGATAGCATGTTCTGCGTCTCAGGAACTAAAAGTGCACTCAACAAAAACCAAACCACTGTCGTATTCATGACTAAACGGCAACCAATCAGCATTTGCAGACAATGCAAGTCGCCTTGTCAAACCGGATAATAATTTATTGAAAGCAGAAGCAACCGCTAAGTGTGTGGCGGAGTCAGAGATCTGACAGCTGCCTCCGTTCTCAGCTAACCAACTAGCAGACACGGCTTGTTGCTGACCGTCGGTTTCTTGTGCACAAACTTGGAGTTACTGCCTCTATCCCACAACTGAACTCATTCTGAAGTGACAAACATGAACTTACACACGCCAAAATGTAGACGACTTGTTTTTTTCCCTCAGATCACGGGTAGTACAGTAGAAATACAGACATCATCAGTCCGGGTAAGAAAGACAGTCCTCCATTATTCCAGTGACGCATGCTCAGTGTGTGTTTGTTTACATGGAACTCAGAGAGGAGGGGCTTCCGTAGACCCCCTGGCCAATCACAGAGCCCGGTTTTCCAGCCCATGCCTCATATGTGTTTTAGTTGCAGAGATCAGCTGATAAACTAAGATACCCCAGGGTTTCCCAGTCTTTTACAGTATCTACGGTTCCTTTGTCACAGTGTATTGTAAACAAATACTGTCTAATTTTATTTTGAAATGTAATCATGTCTAAAGCCATACCCCCTTTAGCAATAAAAAAACATGATTAGATGTATTATAACACCATCCAACCCCCCATCCTTAAAGACAAGCTGGAAGGGATGGGGGTGGATCCCTGCTTCACGTCCTGGATTGTGGATTACCTGACAAGACGACCACAGTACATCAGGCTGGGTAACTGTGTCTCAGGGACAGTGATGAGCAGCACTGGGGCTCCACAGGGGACTGTTCTGGCTCTGATCCTGTTCACCCTGTATACGGCCGACTTTAAATACAACTCTGAGTCCTGCCACATTCAGAAATACTCAGATGACACAGCTATTGTGGCGTGTATCAGGAATGGGCAGGAAGAGGAGTACAGGGATCTGATGATGGCCCTCAGTGAATGGAGCAACAAGAACTGCCTCCTTCTGAACACCTCCAAGACCAAGGAGATGGTCATGGACTTTTGGAGGTCTAGGCCCACCCTTCAGCCAGTCAACATTCAAGGGAAGTACATTGAGGTGGGGCACACTTATAAATACCTAGGTGTGCACCTGGACAGTAAACTGGACTGGTCCCTGAAGACGGATGCCACCTACCTGAAGGGGCAGAGCCAGTTCTTTTTCCTCAGGAGGCTCAGGTCCTTTGACGTCTGCAGTGAAATGCTGCACATATTTTATCAGTCAGTGGTGGCCAGTGTACTCTTTTATGCTGCAGTCTGCTGGGGCAGCAGCATGTTCGACACGAACACAAGTAGACTGGACAAGCTGGTCAAAAAGGCTGGGTCTGTGCTTGGCAGGAGTCTGGACTCACTCAGGACTGTTGTGGAGAGACACATGCAATGTAAGATGGAGGCCATCTTGGACAATACCAACCATCCTCTCCACAACATTCTGGCAGGACAGAGAAGCAGCTACAGCTGCAGCCAACATCTCATCTCACTGCGCTGCAGAACAGAGGTTCAGGAGATTCTTTGTTCCCACTGCCATCAGGCTATACAACACCTCAGCCAAAGGAAGTGGACTAATCTAATTATTGTTTATTTATTAACTGTTTTTATTATCAGCAACAATGAGCTAATGGGCACATGCATTTCCCCTAGGATAAATAAAGGTATCTATTTTTTAACATTTATTTTATCATTAATATATTGTATTCATTCTTATTTGATTTCTAATATCCTACCTTTTATTTCTGGTTTTACTCACTTTAATAGCCTACATGTGTCTGTTTTAGTATTTTATCTTTGTCACTATCTTTATCTCTGCTTTCCAGTCTTCAGTGTTTCTTCAGTGCAAATTTATGAGATTGTGTGTGTATTGCTTTTATACTGTAAAACACTTACATTGTTGCTATACAAATAAAATCTGTTTGATAGTATTTACACATTTCGAAAAGCAATTACAGGTGACATACCTGGTACCAAAATAGTTAAAAGGTCAACAGCGTAAAATGTAGTTAAACTTTTAAACAAATCAGGCAAGTTTTCAGTTAATGCTGTGTTGTTTCTCCGTTGTCAATTATTTTTCCATACATTGAGTATTGTTTTAACAGCTGGTCATTTACAGGAGAAACAACACTGAACTTAAATCAATTGAATCACTTTTCAAGAAAGCCATAAAAGTTTTAGGTAATAATACAAACTTCATTTCATCATTGCAATATACAGGAAAGAGAACTTAAATATTTTGTATGTATGCTTGTTTTATTTATAAGGTTTTGCATAGACCCCACCACCTTTAAATGAGTTCATTAAACAGAGGGCTGACAGTGACATTGGCTTCAGGGTAACCACTAGAGGGGGCTGTGAGGTGCACCACATTTGGACAAGCTGCTCTCAGTAAAGGGAAGTAAATATTGGAATGATGGTCTATACCAATTGCAATAAGGGAGTGTCACCTTTAAGACACATCTCAAACACTGGCTGGAGTAAAACCAGATTTTTTTTTTTTATTATTATATATGTGACCACAGAACTGGTGATATTAGGGTGGTGAGTTAGGGTTGGAGGCCTCCTTGCTCACCACAAATTGAGAAATGTCAGTGTTCGGTTGGCAAAACTATTTAAGTTAAAAAGTTGTTTATAATCTATAACACATATAGATACTTTCTGAGAGAGAGAGAGAGAGAGAGAGGAGAGATGAGGCAGGATGGTCAGGGACAAGCAGAGTCAATCCCAGGAAGTCAGTCTAGAGATGAACACTTGAAAGTCTTGCATGGATACAGAGAACAATCTGGCAATGAGTGAGTGGACCAAGGCTGCTTAAATACTGGCTTAATTGGAGATGGTATGCAGCTGGGAGCAACAGGTGGGGACGGTGAGGCTGATGAGGAGGTGTGGCAGAGTGGAGAATGAGATGGAGGCGGGGGAGTGGAAAAACACCAGAGAGATCAGGTAGGAGCAGAGGTGGATTGTGACAACCTCTGAAAGTCTATGACCATCTCCTTGGTCATGGAGGTGTTCAGAAGGAGGCAGTTCTTCTTGCTCCATTCACTGAAGGCCATGGTCAGATCTCTGTACTCCTCTTCCTGCCTGTTCCTGATACACGCCACAAAAGCTGTGTCATCTGAGTATTTCTGGATGTGGCAGGACTCAGAGTTGTATTTCAAGTCGGCCGTATACAGGGTGAACAGGAACCGAGCCAGAACAGTCCCCTGTGGACTATTAGCAGGAAGGGAGAGAAAGCAGACCAAGGGCTCACTGTCTCTCCACTTGTCTGAGGCTGAAGGTCTGCTGGGTTGCTTGCTTCCTCACAGTCATTTGAAAACTTTTTACGCATCACGAGATGGAGATCAGAGCCACCATCATGGACTGGGCTGGCAACACAATTTAGCCCTCAGGATGCCCAACTGCCTTTAGACACAGCATCGGATTAGATAATGGGCTGTTCACTGCCTGAATTTATTTATTTATTAATTGATTTGTTTCTCTGACAGGGACAATAGATGTCAATGAATCAGTACAAAGTACACAATGTAAACATGCTGGATTGTAGCAAAAATGCTAATTTAAATCTGTAGTCCCTTGGGAGGTAACATAAAACAAAACATTACAAGTCACATAAAATACATAAAAAACAAAAAAACAAATACATTTCGCTGCATACCAAGTTAAAAATGATCACAGATCTGGTTTGACTCCAGCCAGTGTTTGAGATGTGTCTTAAAGGTGACACTCCCTTATTGCAATTGGTATAGACCATCATTCCAATATTTACTTCCCTTTACTGAGAGCAGCTTGTCCAAATGTGGTGCACCTCACAGCCCCCTCTAGTGGTTACCCTGAAGCCAATGTCACTGTCAGCCCTCTGTTTAATGAACTCATTTAAAGGTGGTGGGGTCTATGCAAAACCTTATAAATAAAACAAGCATACATACAAAATATTTAAGTTCTCTTTCCTGTATATTGCAATGATGAAATGAAGTTTGTATTATTATTATTTTTATTATTATTATTATTATTTAAAACTTTTATGGCTTTCTTTCTTTCAATTGATTTAAGTTCAGTGTTGTTTCTCCCCTAAATGACCAGCTGTTAAAACAATACTCAATGTATGAAAAAAAAATTGACAACGGAGAAACAACACAGCATTAACTGAGAGAAATTGCCTGATTTGTTTAAAAGTTTAATTACATTTTACGCTGTTGACCTTTAATTGAACTATTTTGGTACCAGGTATGACCTCTGTAATTGCTTTTCAAAATACGTAAATACTATCAAACAGACTTTATTTGTATAGCAACAATGTAACACGAAGTGCTTTACAGTATAAAAGCAATACACACACCCAATCTCATAAATTTGCACTGAAGACTGGAAAGCAGAGATAAAGATAGTGACAAAGATAAAATAATAAAATACTAAAACAGACATATAAGTGAGTAAAACCAGAAATAAAAGGTAGAATATTAGAAATCAAATAAGAATGAAGACAAAATCGTAAAGATAAAATAATAAATGATAAAGAAATTAAAGTATGGTATTAAAAGTAAAACAATCCAGAAAGTAATCATTGAATAAAAGGACATACCAGTAAAATTGCTTAAAATATATAAGTAAATAAAAAGATAAATAGATAAAATTTAATTAAAAGCCAGAGTGAAAAGATAGGTCTTGAGTTTTCTTTTAAAAATATCAGCACTTTCCAACACTTGCATTTTTATACCAGATTTCTTTAAATGGATTTTGGCGTGACGCTCTCTCCTTACACAGCTGGGCGTATCGGGTACCCCACACCGCAGGCTTCACGGAGCCTTATGGAGGGGAGAGGGACATGGTCTGCCCCTCAAGTATATGTTGATAAAATGCAGAGATAGTTATGAATACTGGAATGTTTTCGCTTAACGTTAACGTTGATCAATGCATATCAGAAGCTCGGTGTCCAGCGCGTCGGCAGGAAGTACCGACGGATCTGAAGTCAGCTTGAAAATTAACGGTCCCCGTTCGGTAAGACTCACAGAATGGATCGCTTGCTAGCGTAGCCAGCTAGTCATGTTTATTAGCTACTGGTTATATTAACGTTCAGCCACTTTCCTTATGTCTCTGCCGTCACATTAATGTCGTGTGTTGAAGGACAGGGGGTTTTACCACTCCCACCGCCACCAGCCTGAAGGGACATCAACTGTTAGCGGTGGTTACTAAGGTAGCTAACGTGATTGCGGCTAATAGGCTATCATTACTGTGACTGGTAGCCAAACATAGTTAATGAGTTAGCTGCTAGCTGCAGTAACATGCTCTACGTCATGGTGGTGTTCTCCTTATTACTCTACAGCGTCCACTATTCATTTTCTCTTCGGTACATAAGTCATGACACCTCACAAAACTTCACTGAAAGTTCAGTGGAAATTGAATTATCTAACGTGACGTTTGTGGTTAACCCCATTAACCAGACAATAGTTAACCCCATTGACTTAATGTTAGTGGTTAACACCATTAACCTGACAGTAATGGTTAACACCATTAACCTGATGTTTGTGGCTGACCCTGTTAACCTTATTAACCTGATGTAATTGGTTACCACATTTAACCTGACAATAGTGGTTAACACCATAAACCTAACGTTAGTGGTTAAGCCCATTAACCTGATGTTATTGGTTAACACAATTAACCTGATGTTAGTGGTTAACCCCATTAACCCAACGTAAGTAGTTAATTGTCAGTAATTATTAATTGTCAATTTGAAAACGCATGAGTTGCAAATATTGACAACACAACAGAACTGATAACAAAAAAGAACACAATGATATATTGAAATCATCTAAATTTATTCTTTAGCTAATAAACTCACACACAGCCAAGGCATTGCCTGTAAGATTGGCTAAGAAGTGACGTTACCAAGCAGCTGGTGACTACTTCAGTTAAATGTTTAATAAAAAACACATCCATTATCATTTGTCCTTCAGTTATCTCAGACTCGGGGTGTGCAGGCCTCTTGCTGTCACTCTGTGTTTAGTTTAAACTAGGGCTGTATGATATGCAAAAAATATCATATGGCGATTATTTTTGGAAGATACATTTAATTGTATTTAAATGCATTTAATTTTCACTGAAAAATATATAAAATGATAATGATGTGATTTTTGTTGGGTCTTGTACCAAACAAAAGTGTTCCTTTATTTCTGGAGAATATGTTTTGTTGTCCGGGGTGTCTCTGTAGCACCGCAACAGTTATGCCGCTAACAATGAACAACAGTGTGACACATTTTATGGCCATACTGCAATTTCAATTTTATTTTGATTAATTGTGCAGTCCTAATTCACAACATGCATTTTGGTGGAATACAGCAGATCAAAGAGAGTGAAGGAGACATATATTAGCTGATATTAGGAACCAAAATACCAACAAAAAACTACTGCTACATAAAGTCTATGGACACCTGCTGTGGTGTCCAGGTGTTTCTATTATTTTGTCCACCCCATTTATATCAGTGAAGGTAAGCTAAATAGGAGGATTTTTCTGCAGGGCAGTTGTATAAGACTATTAGTTTTAGTTAGATGTACCCAAAAAACTAATTTTAACTAATAACCAATTTGTAACTATCAGTTGTATCCACAAGCTGACTGGAATTTATATTAACACCCCCCCCCCCCATTCAAGAGCTGATGTACTGTGGTAAGCAGAGTGTCTCATTTCCAGTTGCCAGTATTTCTGTGGTGCTGTTGGCATGTTTTGCTGCTCTATCTCAACCTAGTTAATGTTGCTTTTTTCTTCATTATGGTGGTTAATTACCCGCTGTGCTAGGGCTGGGTAATTAACCGAAAGCGTATCAAAACCAACATTTGTTTTTGCAACTTCACCGTAGAGGATTGTGATGTCCATTACAACTTCAGCGATGTCTTCTGTCTTACCTTTGACACACATCTCTGCTCGTTCAGTGGAGCTGCTCAAGTCTGTTCTGGTCTGTGAACACAGATGGTATTACCTCAATTTTTTTAGTAAAATCTTTATGTAAGCACAGTTATCAAAACATTATCTTGTAACTCAGGACTGCAGAAAGATTAGGTAATAATCAGGACGTGGTTACTTGGAACTGAGTGGACTGTGAGTACCTCCTAGTCCCTAAGTCACCAATAGGCGGAGCACGGTCCAGATTCGGACCCAGACACCTTTCTATACGGACCCAGACCCATTATTCGATTTTGATGGACCGTTTCTATTTTAACTTCAGAGCTTTTCTCGCAATTACGGTAGTCAATGTATGTACATAGGAAACGCACAGACTAATCGCCTGCAATCGCCAATCAAATCATTTATTCAGAGCAACAATGCAATTGGAGCGAGTGGGTGTGTGCGTGTGAAAATAAATAGAAAAACACACATCTTGACCTTGACACTACCTGAAGGGGCAGAGCCGAAACAGGCTTTCTTCAGGAAGCATAGGTCCTTTGACGTCTGCAGTGAAATGCTGCACATGTTTTATCAGTAAGTGGTGGCCAGTTTACTCTTTTATGCTGCAGTCTGCTGGGGCAGCAGCATGTCTGACATGAACATAAAGAGACTAGACAAGCTGGTAAAAAAGGATGGTTGTGTTGTGGAGAGATGCATGCAATGTAAAATGGAGGCCATCTTGGACAATTCCAACCGTTCTCTCCAGAACATTCTGGCAGGACAGAGAAGAAGCTACAGAAGCAAACATCTCATCTCACTGTGCTGCAGAACAGAGAGGTTCAGGAGATCCTTTGTTCCCACTGCCATCAGGCTATACAACACCTCAGCCAAAGGGAGTGGACTAATCTAATTATTATTGTTTATTATTAGCTGTTTTATTATTATTATTATTATTATTATTATTATTATTATTATTATCAACAATGAGCTAATGGACACATGGATTTCCCCTAGGGGATAAATAAAGTATCTATCTATCTATCTATCTATCTATCTATCTATCTATCTATCTATCTATCTATCTATCTATCTATCTATCTATCTATCTGTGAAATACGGAAATGAGAAAAGAATATTTATTTTATTATTGGAGTACCCTCCAGTTCAATGTGAAAATGAATAATAAACATTGGCAAAATACTATTGAATTGTACTCTCTTAATTTTACTTCAGTCAGTTGTTGACTACATACAGACATTGATACAACTACTGGACTTCTTCAAGATATATGGCACTCCCATCATAATCCATGCTAGACATTATGATGTTCTGGACCTTTGCTTGAGGAAATCTTCTCTAACTGGACCTTTTTGAATTTTAATTGAATACCCCTGTTCTAGTCGAACATTTGAATGTGGACATGACACAGGACAAGCCTCCACCCTGCCTCCCAGCTTATAGATAATAAAGTCTCTCCTCAGGAAAACAGCACTGTAGATGAATTTGATACTTCTGTTGACTGCAGAATCTCAGACCTTCAGCGTCTGGGTGATTGTATTAACTAATAACATGCTGTGTTTGAGTGCAGGTCTAACCAGTTTATTTTCTGTTTAAACAGGCTCCTGTGTGGGATGTGCCATGTACTTTAGCTGGAGATGAGAATGAAACCCAGTCGCAACCTCCTCCTGGGCCTGTGCTCCATGCTGGCCCTGGGATTCCTCTACTACTCGTCAGGGAGAATCAGCTTACAAGGCTGGGGCCACAAATCACGTGAGTCTTCCTCCAGTAAGTTAATGTAATGTACAGTGTGATGTTTGTTAAATTATTTCATTGACCAGTGGCAACTGCAGCAACAGTGATAGAATTCATCTCCTCTACACAAGTGACTTACACAGCCAGTGGCACAATAAGTGTTAGGCAGAAGAAAAGACAGGAGTCTAGTCTGAGTTTATTCAACAGGAAAATGGTGTATAGCTTTGTTTTTTGCTCTTGTTTCATCAGAAGCACTTATGAAAGTAATCAAAATCCTTGTCAGACCAGATCTACAACATTTATTGAGAAAAACTGCTCAAATTAAAATATATCTGCTGTTGAATTTACTGTCCAGTCTAATTTCTAATCGCACACTCTCTATATAGCATATACAGCATATACTGTATATGTGTATGCTAACTTGTAGTTATAGAGAGTGGAATGTGAAAAATAGATATACAGTTCAATCAATGCAAACTGAACAGCAGTAAATGACAGCTGCCTTACTTAATAATGTTGGGTATTGGTTGATCATTTGTTTGAGACCATAACTCCTAGTTTTTCTTCTTGTCTACAAATCATCGGATAATTTTACCTCTGTTTGATGCTAAATGATTCAGGTACTGTGTGACACGATGGTGCAATGGTGTGTCTCCTTATGGGTTTTGTTGGCTCAAAAGTATTTACTCCTCTGGCCCCAATAGAGCAGAGGACAGAAACAGAAAGTGAAAAGGGCATTATAGAACAAAACAAAATGTCACCGAAAATCAACATTACAATCAATTACCACGTTTACCTCAGTAACAATTAACAAGCAGTAGGGTGTGATTAGTCACCATAATCAACTACGTCAACTATGAAAATAAGTTGACATCAGTATTTTAAGTCGACGAATTGTTTCCCAAACATTAATGATTTGTGGGGGCCAGTCACTATTAACCACCATATATTTATTTTCTATTTATCATTTATGGTAACACTGGTTCTCTGTCCTCTGCTCTGCTCTGGTCTCTCTGCTCCCTGGGAGAGGTGGGGCTGCAGGTACACACACAGACACACTATGGAATGCAGATTGGTCCAACCATGTTCCATCGCCTCCAACATGGCAACAACGTAAAAAGTGAGCTCCCCGATGTCGAGATTAAAAAGCCCTATATAACTGAGAGTTTAAAACGTGAGAGACATTGTGAAGTTTTATTTAAAAAGGCATTTGATTTTGACTAGAGGAAGACATAGGAAACCGTCGGAAAAAGTGAAGTTAAATACCGAGGAAGACTCAGCTGAAACTGAGTTAGCAACAGAGCTAGCTGAATTAGCGGAAGCGCCTTTACACAAACAGGTGCACCTGCTAAGCTAAACAATGAGCCAGGTGAGTGAGCGGGAGAGACGAGCCAGAGTGACCCAAGCAAAGATGGCAAACAGATCGCTGAAATCATGGCAAACTTGGAAAATTCCGAAGCCCTCAAGGAAGTATAGATGAGAAGACGAATCAGGAAATTAAGGAGATAAGAAAAGAGATAGATGATACACATGCACAGGAGATTGGAAAAAAAATTGTATGTAATGTACATGAAACAAAGCTATCACCAAACAGGATGCAAATCTGCGACATTGCCCGACTTACACCCTAAAAAAGCAGGCAATCAATAGTATTTACAAAATAAGAGACCCTCATAGTAAATCAACAAGATATGAGACTAAGGATATACATAGCTGAAACATATTACAAAAAAAATGATATAACCAACCAGTAGTTAATGATAGAGTCCGGATCAACTTGTTTCTACAGTCTTTAAATTTACCAAGAGTATCAGAAGAACACAATAGAGCTCTAACTGCAGAAATTACAGCAGAAGAAATAAACACTGCAATTTCAAAACTAAAGGCTAACAAGTCCCCGGGCACAGATAGGACACCTTGGAGTGGTACAAATCAGTCAGGGGATCTTTAATCTTTCTGCTATGAAATACATTTAATTGGGTGCTGAATGAGGGAGAAATTCCAAATTCGTGGAGGGAAGCCATCTTTTCTGTAATTCCAGGAGGCAGGAAGGAAGAGATAAGACTGATTGTTCTAATTACAGACCTATAAGTGATCAAGATTACAGCTTTCTTACTGCTATACTAGCCAGATGTTTAGAAAAAATTCTACCCAAAATAATTCATTTGGAGCAGACAGATTTTATTAAACAGAGACAGACACAGGATAATATCAGACACTACATGTAATGCAACATATAACCACAGAACAGGTAGAAGCAATAGTGGTAGGCCTAGACACAGAAAAGGCCTTTGACTCATGGGACTTCTTATGTAGGGTATTAGAGTGGTTTAATTTCCATGAAGTGTTTATCAAGACCATACAGGCCTTGTATAATAAACCAACGGCTAGGATCAGGATTAATGGGAGTCTCTCAAATTCTATCACACTAGAACGTGGATTTCGTCAGGGTTGATTAGCGTCCAGAAGAGTCCTCTTCTTTTCGCCATTTTTTTCAACAATATCTGAGCCGATGGATAAAACAAAATGAAAATATTAAGGGGATAGACATGGAGGGGGGTGAGCAGAAGATAGCTTTATTCGCGGACGGTGTCCTGATATATTTATTGAGACCTTCCTATCCTGGAGAGAATATGGATAGAAAAATATTACAAGGTATTTTCTCACACCAGCGCAGAAAAAATATCATGATACAAGATGTTGGAGATTATATGGAGATTATATTATTATATTATGTGGAGCAGATAAAGCCAATCACTTCCACGTTTTCTGGGGTTGCCACTTGATTGGCTCATACTGGCAAAAGTGACAGAAATGCATGGAGAAAATATTGAAGATAAATTTTCCACTTACTTTCGAGGTATTATACTTGGGGAAAATTAACACGAGGCTTATAGGCTTTGGAGACACAAAACATACATGTTTAAGATAATGTTGATTGCAAGTAAAAAAGCTATAACTAAAAAATGGTTAAAGACCGGGATGGATGTAATGCATAATATATATGCGATGGAGAGGATGACCTTTTCTACCAGATCTGAATTGGACAAAGTCAAGAGAATCTGGAAAAATTGGATCAAACGTATATCGCAAACTAGGGAAGATTTTGAATGATGGAGAGTACAGAATGCATGATCCATTGATTCTTTGCTATAGACTGTTTTAAATGTTCATTTAATTGAAATTATGTTAACACTTAAGATCCCTACCCCGGCAGATGTAACAACATTGCATGAGTAAAAGTGCAGGTTAGTTTTAGATAAATAAAAAGGAGGGGAAGGGAGATAGAGGGGGGGGGAAAGAATGTTATTCACCGTGATAATGGTTTATTTATATATAAGATAAATACATTTATTTTATCTTTATTTATTTATGTATTTATTATTACTATTATTATTATTATTTCCCTCTTTTCTTATTTGCACATTTATTTATTTAATTAATTTCATCGTAATATTCTTTATTATTAGTTCATCTAATATTAGTATCAGAGTTATAATCCATTTTCAATATTTTGATCAACAAATAGACTGAAAAGGTATGGAAGGTACCCAAGCACTTTTCTACATGTTTACAAGGGGAAAAATGGAGCGTGGTATATAGATGAATATGATATGAGTGGGTTCAGTTTGTTTTGTTTTTTTTCTTTGTTTAATTGGCTATGAGTGTGGGTTTCAGTTTTATGTGTAATACGAATACAGGAAAATGTATTAAGATCAGTGTTTCCTCTACATTCATTTAGCAGTGGTGGCCCGCCACTGCTAAATCATAGCCGCCACGCCTTCAAATTTCTTTTTTTTCTTTTTTTTTTTATTGTCGCAAATGCACCACCGCCACATCTCTCCACCTTCACAGCACAGCCTGTGTGATGATGAGCGCAACAGCGGGGGGAGGGGAGGAGAGGGAGGGAGGGAGTGGGGTGGTTGGGGGATCCTATTGGAGTTAATTACTCGCGAGAGCGCGGCCTTGAAAGTGACGTCACGTCAGGTACCAGGTCAGAGTCAGAGAAGTGTAGTCGTGAGGAATAAGGCAGCGAATTACCGGAGAAGAGGTAGACTTATTAGCCAACTCAGTGACGCTAACTTGGGTAAACTAATTGATAGCATTAAGCTAATATCTACACGTCATTTTGTATTAACTGCTGACTGCATTTTCAGATGAGCTTGTTCAGATGCTTCTCTAAGAAGAGAAAGACAACAGATGAAGAAGACGCTAGTCAGGTAGCCTATCATAAGCCTTTTACTGACATAAATGATGATGGTTAGGTAAAAAATAATAATTTAATGTTCACACTTGTAATCAGATGTGATGTGAGTGTAAACTATATAACGCTGTTAGCGTTACGTTACTCACACTTTTAATGTAATCTTATTAGACAAGTAACATTAGACAGGGAGGAGTTGTTAAACAAAGTGGAGGAGAGCAGAGCACAGCAGCGGGAGAGCTGGGTGAAGGTGCAGGAGAGAGAGATGAGCCTGGGTGCAAACTTTGCCACTGACTCTACAATTCTGATTCCACTTAAAATTAACCTAGAAAGTCTGACTTGTGTGTTTCAGCCTGTAAAGTTAGGTTCTTTGTTCTACTTTGGGGTAGGCAGCAGCCTGTAAATGTGTATTAAGGTTAATAAAGAACAACCTATCCTTAAACATTGAGTGTTACCATTTAGAGCGTTCAGTTATGCTATGTTATCTTAATTCAGTGATTTTCAGAATCAAAATGAATACATGCAGTTTTTTTGTATTGAAGTCCATCTGTCAGGGTAACTGAAAATCAACCTTTTTAGATTTGATTTTACATTTTTAAAGCCACACATTGTTAACTTCAGAAACTGAAGTCTAATTTATTTTTTTGCCAAATAAAAAACAGTTTTTAGCTGTCCTACATTGCATTTTAGGGCTCTCTGCCTGCCTAGATTTCCACTTCCTTACACATGTTCCTTACATTCAGTCTGAAAACATATAAAAACATACAAATGTGTAACAGCAAAAGTCTTTTGTGATGTGTCTGTTTAGGGAAAGGATTTTCTACCTGCAGAAGATATCCATGTAACATTTTTTACCAGATGGGGGAGCCAGTCTATTTACTTTGAGACAGTATTTGTGGTTTTAGTTCTCCTAGGTCTTCACTCTACACTGCCTCTTCACTCCTGTAAAACAGTAAAGCAATGGGCATTCTTCATCTGGGCACATTGCTGATGATGTGGAGTGGATCATTTCTTGATTATTTCATCTGTCATAAAGTGTCCAATTAATAAATATTGAAGCCAATTTGCGGTGCTAATATTGTTAGTGGGAACTGGCTCGACACCCACTGAAATTAATTATTTATGTTGTGCACAATGTTTATTCCATTGCCAACTTCTATTTTTAGTGCCCTTTTCAATTGGTTGATACAGTTATTTAGCAAAGCAAATAGGTACGAGCCTCCTATTGGATAATTACTGCATGGGCGATTATCTTTCAACTGGTAACAAGTTATTTAACCCCAACTGGTGCAATGAGTTGCTTTTCATTTCTTAAACAACCATGTCGAAAGACACATCCCGTGGTCGTGGAAAAGATGTTAGTCTGTTTGAGAAGGGTCAAATCATTGGCATACATCAAGCAGAGAAAACATCTAAGGAGATTGCAGAAACCACTAAAATTGGGTTAAGAACTGTCCAACGCATTATTAAAAACTGGAAGTATAGTGGGGACCCATCGTCTTTGAGGAAGAAATGTCGCCGGAAAAAAATCCTGAATGATCGTGATCGGCGATCACTTAAACGTTTGGTGAAATCAAATCGAAGAAAAACAACAGTAGAACTCAGGGCTATGTTTAATAGTGAAAGTAAGAGCATTTCCACACGCACAATGCGAAGGGAACTCAAGGGATTGGGACTGAACAGCTGTGTAGCCTTAAGAAAACCACTAATCAGTGAGGCTAACCGGGAAAAAAAGGCTTCAATTTGCTAGGGAGCATAAAGATTGGACTCTGGAGCAATGGAAGAAGGTCATGTGGTCTGATGAGTCCAGATTTACCCTGTTCCAGAGTGATGGGTGCATCAGGGTAAGAAGAGAGGCAGATGAAGTGATGCACCCATCATGCCTAGTGCCTACTGTACAAGCCTGTGGGGGCAGTGCTATGATCTGGGGTTGCTGCAGTTGGTCAGGTCTAGGTTCAGCAACAGTATGTGCTCAAAGAATGAGGTCAGCTGACTACCTGAATATACTGAATGACCAGGTTATTCCATCAATGGATTTTTTCTTCCCTGATGGCACGGGCATATTCCAAGATGACAATGCCAGGATTCATCGCACTCAAATTGTGAAAGAGTGGTTCAGGGAGCATGAGACATCATTTTCACACATGGATTGGCCACCACAGAGTCCAGACCTTAACCCCATTGAGAATCTTTGGGATGTGCTGGAGAAGGCTTTGCGCAGCGGTCAGACTCCATCCTTGCATTGATGACTACCATCATCAATGCAAGATCTTGGTGAAAAATTAATGCAACACTGGATGGAAATAAATCTTGTGACATTGCAGAAGCTTATCGAAACAATGCCACAGCGAATGCGTGCCGTAATCAAAGCTAAAGGCGGTCCAACGAAATATTAGAGTGTGTGACCTTTTTTTTGGTGGCGACTTTTTTTTTGGCCAGGCAGTGTATATATTAATACATTAAACTTCTGTGAATAGATTATAATGTGAATAAATACAGACAAAATATATAATCTAACAATAACATTTTGAAATAATACATATTTAAAAGTCACCCTTGAAGATTCATTCGTCCTGCTTATTTTTTTACTCTGCCAGTCTTTAACACCATATTTGTCTTTTTTCCGAAGTCTATTTTTATTTTGCACTATTTCCATCAGTGATGTCCAATTTGATTTCATATTGCCACTTTTCAACACAAATCATTTGTCTCTTTGTCTCTTAATCAAAATGAATAGGGCATTCTCATTGAACATACTGGTCCTCCATACAATAAAGGGCAAGGTTTGATTTTGTATGTCTGTTTTTCTGCAACAACCGAAAATGAAGGGGGGTGGTACTAAGCCGTATGACGGGGGGGGGGGCAATAATTATATTTTCATTATCTCTCCAGCTACTACGGGTCAAAGCCACTCACTCTGTGCTTCTCAGAACATCTGGGAAGATGAATAAAAACTGATGTTAAAATCATGTAAACGTTGGCTTTAATACACTTGTTAATACACTCCTAAGCACTTGGTACTCTCCTTTGACTCCGCTCTCTCACTCTGATCCTCTCCTCCACCCGCACCTTCCACTTGTGGCTGAGAACTAGGCCTACAGTCAGTCCTGACACATTAACCGTATCTTGTCAGTAACATGAATTAACTTTTTTTCCCACATTAGAAGAACTAATGATGTCTGCACTTGCGATTCTGTACCTGACGTTCACCGACTGGAGAGTAAGTAAGGTAAAAATATCACTGCAGCCAAGTCAAGTTGGTTGCCTTACTCTGTGGAGCCACTAGCTCTGCTGTCATTACTAATAGAAAATCTTAACACCGACACATCAGGTAGTAATGATAAGCAGCTGATGAATGTGACTTTCTATGAATGTACCAAAAAACATACTGTTAGCGTTAGCCTTTCTTGGGCAGATGTTTGCTGGGGCTAACCCCCTTCACTTTTCCGGCAGTTGGGGAAACAGCATACAACTTTTCTTGGTCTTGAAGCTGCAGCATTTAGTAACTGACACACTGCAGCCCATACTGTACATTTACTGCCATACTGACAACTTACTGCTAACGTTTTCCTCTGCTCCGCTCACATTCTCTGCTTCACCGTCACTTTTCTGCCGCTGGCTTCTTAGAGACTGCCCTATTCCCTAAAGGAGCTACGGTACTCTAACATTACCTTTTACGTAGATGTGCTTTGAAAAATAAGGAGAGGGTCCAAGAGGATTAGATGCAATAGGTAATAACTCAAAACAATTCCAAGTTAATGTTCGGTATTGTTGTGCCCACACAGTGTGTGAGTGAAAATCATTAGTAGCCTGTTGATATTCATGATTGTGTGGTGCACTGCTGCTGAGTGAATATAGGGGAAACACTGTGTATCATGTTGAATTTACTTACAGACATTACCCAGCCTTAGCTAAGAAAGGATGGAAGCCTTACCTGAACCTCTCCATTCGCCACTTGTTTCTTGCAGTGTCGCTCACTCAACTGCTTGGTCGGCCACCCTGCTCAGGTCCTCCTTGCGTGTCAGTGACTGTGAAATGAGCTTGGTTGGTTTCAGGTCATTCAGGTTCATGTATAGAAGCAAAAACTAAATGAAATACTTTAGGGATGAATAATTGTCATAGTTTCAATAAATGTTTGCTCTGTGAATTAATCTGCAATATGCCACTCTCAGGCATTCATATCTTGCCTCTAGCGTCTGTCCTCAGGTCAGCTCATGCCCTCTTGAGACTGGCAACCAATGAAAGAATGACAAATAACATTCATAACAAATTCTGTGACAAAATGTGGTTTTCATTTTACCCCTTAGATGGTAACTAACTGTGTTACATTTAGATTTAACCCGCTTTTTAAACAGTGTCGATATTGGACAAGTCTGCAAAAGCTTGGGTGTGTTGTTTTTAAATGAATTATTCCAACTATATTTGTAAATGGCAATTACAGCTTGCTTAAGATGTGGTTGCACATGGCCTCCAACCCATCCCTTACTCGCTCACATTACACCACATTGCATTAACGTCAAACCACCCTCCTACAATGGCACTGAACACAAGCATGTAGAATCTTAAGTATGAACAAAATTACTTTTTTTTTACAGGACTGAGTTAAGAAATATGCCAGCCAACATCTTACTTTCTTTGTAATTAAATGACTTCAGTGCCATAATATATACTACTGAAATTCCACATGTATAAGTACATTATTTATCGTTATCATACTCACCTTCTTTTTTTTCTAGTGTATGACAAGCAAGGGTTCCTTCTGAAGCTGGATGGTAGCCTGTGAGTATACAGTTTACTGTTTATACAAGTTCCACTTCCCAGTCAAAGTCTAGGATCTAAGCCTTTGGGCATGTTTTTAGACGGTATCAATGATGGCATAACATCAGTGATCATTGCCTGACTTCATTCCTTCATGTCTACAGGCCTTTGGAGCTGATCTACAAGTACGGCAATCTCAGTGAGGGTGCCTGCAAGCCTGGTTTTGCAGCTGCCAAGATGACTGCCATTTATCCAAAGTAAGAATACATACCATATGTTGTATTGAAGTGAGCTTGTAGCATTTTAGACATCAAACATAATTGTCAGATACATTGTGATCAGTGAGACCCTATTGTTGCCATTGCAGACTCATGCAACCATGCTTGTGTTCTTCTAGAGCATGATCTAATCTGTTAGGTAATTTACTTAAGATGGATTTATACTGGATACAAGGGGTTAACAGAAGTGCCATCAAAGGTATCTACAGCAGAGTTGTTGATTTACAGTTGAGAGGCGGAATTTCACCAAGTGATATCACCTCACAATGCTAGATGCATGTGTTATCAGCCCATATAATGCTTTATATTGCCCAATCTTTAATTTACTGAAACAGAGTGATAGAACTTCAGAATTTATTTCGTTGTATTTTGTTACTGAATAGGAGACTACTATTCAGCCTGTTGCCTGGCTTGCATTGCGCCCCAACCCAATGCCTGCTCCTGCAGGTGGTAGGCCCACAGGGAGGTGGTTCCGTCTCATTTCTTCAGGCGGTGCACAGCTGGGCCCCATGGGCCAAGGCCCGGTCACCAGATGCTTGCTGGCATCCCTAACTCTAACCCTAATGCAGTGTGATGATCATGGTGAGCAGGTTTCCAGTATTAATCTCTCTGTTAGAGAGAGACTGAAGATCAGGAAAGACATGTGTCTTAATCTTCCATTAAGAGAAAAATGGCTCAAACCTCAATTTATAATTTACTGAAAAGTGACCAGCCAAGTCCAAATCCAGTCTGATGACTAAAGTTTCAGGTGTGGGAGGTATGTAGTGCCAGTTGGACACCATTTTGATGGACATTTCTGTCAGACATCAGATTAACACTCTAGGCTGGCTGTGCAGGCAGTGATTTTGGAACCTTAGCAAAATCTTTATGCTGCTGAGTAGTTTAATCTATACAAATGCATTTTATTTATTGATTGATTGTATGATTTGTGTGTAAAAGCTGAATTGGCTGTTGCTCTTTTGAAATTGGCATTGCATTTGTTGTCAGATTTACTGACTTTTCAGGCCCCTTTAGCAACCACATTTTTAAAAAGCACCAAACAACAAATCTAGCAACTTTTTGGACAAACCTACGCTACTTCCCATAGAGGAGAGGTGCCAGTAAGCAAAAGGCACACCTGTCTCTGTGTCTACTCTGTTCAACAAGTGGCAGAGAGGCGGAGCTGCAGTTTGTTATTTCAGATGGAGGCTGTGAGAGACAATATAAACAAATATATTCTGTTGCCTCTAACTTTTCTCTGAGTGGTAATTTTTCATGTAAATACAGCTGAAATCACAGCTCCGTCTTTGTCTTTAACTTGTGTGTTTGTGATTTTGTCAGACAAAGGTTTCAAAATTAGAATTTAAGCAGCAGCAGAGCAGCAGCTTGGAAGTGACTGCTGGTTAACATGTACTCTTAATGGGCCACATTTCAGTCACTATTTCATATTTGTTCCGTTTTCTTACAGACACCATACGCAGTCTTGATGTGGTTAGCTGCACAGCTCCAACATCCTTACAGTTGCATTTAGGTGCCTCATGCCAACCATAGGGCAACCTTATGCTTGTGGTGCTCTGGAGAACTACCTAATTCACCTACTGTATTCTGAAAAACTGGCCTAAGTTTTCTCAGTCAAATAGTCTTATTTTATAGAAAGCTTTCTAAGCCCAGAGTGGTATGATAGAGGAAAGATCCCATTTCTGCCTCTGCATTATTGAAAACCACACTGTGAAAGCCCTACACCTGCTTATGTTTTTAGCACTATCTATAAAATAAGTCAGAAGATGCAACGGTCTGAATGGGCTCGTGTGTTGTGCAGATCTATTTTCGTCCTCTTCTGCTCTGTTGTTGTCCCTGTGCGTGAGAAAACCTCAGGCCGGTTCACTTTCCCACTTATTCTCTGAGCACCATAGACACGCAACCCTCCAACCCATCATGGCCTTCAGATAGCAGCCTTAATGAAGTTTGTTCACAGAGTCCAGATTGTAACCTGTTAAAATAACACAAGTGAATTTTCCTCGGGAGAGAGGAATGACCTTGACCCACTTATTCTGCTGTCTTTGCTCAGCTGGTAATGCAGCTGACAGAACTGGCCATGAGCTCTGAAAGAGATGCAGTCATTCATAAAGTCCTGTTGCTTCAAAAGAAACATCCATAGCCTAATGCTCCACTTTGTTCTGTTCTCATGAACCTTTCTTTACCTTGCTTCTCTTCTTTCTGTCTCCTGACTAGGAATGTACACGATTAGTCAGCTGAATGAAGCTAAATAAACCTTGCTACCCTCACTAGTCAGCACCACAAATACAAGGTGGTTAAACTAATTATTAAAGTTTTATTAATGTACAACACTGGTTAGCTGTTGCATCTAAGATGTTATGCAGCCTCCCACCACTAGCTGGACGGTAGCCCCCCTCTTCCTCTGCTAATATCCAGTTATTGTAAACAAGCAAACAGATGGAAAGGGGAACAGATGACACTTTGTGAAACCAAGGCGGTTTGGCAGTGTTTTGATCTAGAAAAAGAAAATAAGCTTGTATGTAGGCTGTGTCACAATAAACTGGCCTATAACCACTCGACCAGAGCAATGTGTAACCACATGCAGCATATGCATGTGGATGTTAACCTGCAAGGTAAGAAGGCTGCATGTGGTAGCACTGCTAACGTTAGCCACACTCATACCCTTTTTCACCAAAATTAGTGGGTATAAGCAGATTTTTGAAACGCAGGTAAACCCCAAAGAGGACACACACAATGTTACCACATGCTGTTACAGAGTGCTCACACACAAACACATGCAGATGCAGCAGCGGAGAAACAGTGAGCTGCTAGCTGCTGTGCAAACTGGTAAAACAGATCTGTCACATCTCATCCTCAGGTTGGTGCTCCTGTCAGTGTCAGAGCCTGAGATGCTTCAGTCGGTGATTGTGTGTTTTTAAAACTTATCTTGAAGCTGAAGGTCAGTCTTTCATCCCAGAGCGCAGTGTAGCTGCAGTGTTTCTGTGCTGGACAGGTGACAGGTGTCTTTACAATGTCTGTGCTCTGAATGACGTTACAGCAGGAAAAGGGGTGAAAATTAGTGAGTTCACCAGGGTGTTTTGCTTAAATTAATACTGATCGGAGCTGATAAATACCGAGTCATTTGACCCAGATATGAATGCTGATTGTTCCCCATTCCATTTAAGCCAGATGTTAGCCGGTCTTAGCACATTTTCTGACCAGTGGGAAATGGGCTTCAGCGAACCAATATGACATGCAGTGATCTTTCTTGGTCAGAAAAGATAACTCAGCTCAATTTTAGAGTAGTCGAACAGTTTGAATTTAAATTTCTGTTTAATCTACATGGAAATTAGTCGTTAGGAACATCTCAACTCCTGACGATCACATTCAAAAGAGAATAATAAAAAATATTTGCTTTATTAAAGGGAATTGAAAAAAATATTTATTATTTGAAATATATTCATTTCCTTATTTTAATTGAATAATTTTCATGTTTTTAAAACATTTAAACCACAGTCTTTAACTTCTGCCTGTAGGGGTCTCTCAATCCAAACAATAACAAAAGGCAGCATTGGGTGACATTGTGAAGTAGTGTGGGATTACGGGAGTTGTTGTCTTCACCACCGTTACCGTAAACTCCTCCTGGTTTGGATTCCTTCGGTGTCAGTGGTTCAGGAGGTTTTTGCCTGGAGCTGAATTATCTGCACAGGTCTCATCTCCAGACAGGTGATAATAACCAGTAAATGCCTGAATAAAGGTGGGACTGCGGCTAACCTTTGTTTGTATTGTTCTTAAGATAATCTACGATCCAGACATTCAGGAGGTTTTTACCAGCAGCTGAATTATATGCAGAAGTGTCTGAAAAAAGCAGTTTCAAGTCAAAAATCAAGTGTTTCATGGCTGCTGTTTTGTGGACACAGGATGTCAAGATGGGGCTGGGACCTGAGACTGAGACATTTCTCAGAGCTCTGCAGTTGGGAAGGTGTTCTTCGGCTAACATGACTCATCCTTTTGCCTCGACATACGATGGTCATTATGACCAAACAGTTCAGACCACAGGAAATTTCTCCGGACAGTCACATCTTTGCCTCCATGTTCAGTTTGAAATGTAGTCTGGGTTTCTATGGCAGTTTTGGAGCAGTGTCTTCTTCCTTGCTGAGTAGCCTTTCAGGTTATGTTGATATAGGACTGTTTTACTGTTGTACCTGACTCCTCCAGCATCTTCACAAGGTCCTCTGCTCTTGTTCTGGGATTGATTTGCACTTTTCATCTCTAGGAGACAGAACATGTCTTCTTTCTGATGGACTGACACCTGCATGATCACATGGTGTTTATACTTGTGTACTATTTTCTGTACAGATGAACATGGAACCTTCAGGTGTTGATAAAATTGTTGTGAAAATTACTCCCATAGATAAACCAGACTTGTGGAGGTTGTGACAATCTTTTCTGATATCGTTCAAAGACACACTGTTGAAGGCAAACCTCCACTGAACTGTTAGTTAGCCCATCAGAAGCTTCTAAAGCCTTGAAGCCTGGAATTATCCAAGCAGTTAAAAGCCACATTGAACATAGTGTTTGTAAATTTATGACCCACTGGAATTGTGATCTAGTGCAAAACAAACCGCCGGTAAAGAAGTGTTGGAAAAATGACTTGTGTCATGAATAAAGCGGATCATGACTTTACCGACTAACTGAAACTATAGTTTTTAACTTGAAATCTGTGGAGTGGTTAAAAATGAGTTTTAATGACTTCAGCCTCAGTGTCTGTAAACTTCTGACTTGAACTGTAGCTCTTGCTGTATCTAAGTACAACCTCTCGTGTAGACTGAAGACTCATAGTCTTGTGACTTTGATTACATCAGTAACTTTTATCTATTATTTTTAATTTTTTGTTCCATTTCTCTGAAATGTCTTTGATACTTACATTACAGATGGTTATTGTTGGGGCTGATTGGTCATAGCCTACAGGAAGTCTACAGGAACTTGCCACATTTCAAAAATACATATGGCATGAATGAAAAGGTGAGCAGGAGTTGACCGTTTTTCCTCCAGTCCCCTTTTTGCAATGTCACACTTTTGTAATCTGTGTTCTGCTTGTTAAACAGATGTTTAATAGATTACTTGCACTGTCTCCAACACTAGTGGGTTTTGTTGCAGCAAGAGCAATGTTGTACATTGTCATGTAACCACAAAAGAGAACTGCACAATAAACTAAATATTACCCTAAAACATATTTTCCACTCTTCTAATGTAATGCCTTTGTTTCTTCAGTGAAATACATATTGTAACTAATTTGTTACCAATCCCCAAAGAACCAGACTTCAGGGGGGAAACTATGTATGTATACAACATTACCACATTGATTTGTTTCACTAAATTACCAATTTTTTGAAACTCTATAGGATAACATTTGTAAAGTGGTGAAGTGGTTTCAGATCACAGGATATATCAGTATTTATTCAGTTTCAGCAAAATTTGAATGAACTTAGAATGCTAATAGTTTCTTTTGCACTTATCATTGTAGGTATGTGTTTTTGCAGATTATAATGTACCGTAAGTTTATTTCTTTTATTTCACTTATGATTTGGAGAAATAAATTGATAAATAAAAGAGCAGACTGCTCCTGTGACAAATGCAGTTGGCATTTGTCACAGGAGCAGTCTGTCAAAAACACATTCAAACAATAAAACAATATGGAAACAGAAAGGCAAGATACATCATTAATAGCTGATTTCTTAATTGTTTTCAGGAAATTTTTTCCTTTAGTTATTTTTGTAAAGCTTCCAGCATTCGCTGATTAGCAGCTGCTATGTTTAGCCAAATCAGAGCTCATTTAAGTTCATTACGTGATATTACACATGAAAAGAGACAAGCTGCCAAAGCTGCAGGGGTTGACTTGGTTAAAGAAACAGTTTCCTTTAGACTCATGGTTCTTCTACAGAAAAATCCTGTTTGGGTTTCCAAAATTTGACACATATTTAAGTATTTAAAGCCAAGTTTATTTTTTGGACAACTGGTTTTAACAAGGAGTTGATGCGCTTTCTGATTCATTTTGAGTATTTTTCCACTGAAAGGACAGTTTCTTTAATTTGAAGAGTATTTTGAAACATTGTGCCAGTCCTGTCAAAAACTCTTCATACTCAGTTGCCCTAGTTCCAGGAAAGTCAGGCTTCAGGAAATTCTCTTATCTCTCTATTAAAATTTGATTTTCAAAAATAACATAGTTGCTGTCTATTTTCATATTTTTGCTTTTATATTTTGTACGAGTGCAATAAAGACAGATATAGATATAAATTCATGTTTGATTTGTCATGTGTCACACAGGGATCTTCACAAAATGCACACTCACATGTACATACATCCAGTAGATACATGTAGAGTTGTGCTTAAACAAAAAGCTCAACTATGTCCACGTTCATTAAGGCCTATTTCCCCAAATTGGAGACAGATGTGAGGATTAAATAGAGCATAACATGTCTAACACTGTGAAGCAACAAACTAACAGAATACTGTTTTATATGCTGTTATAACCAACTAAAATGATTTAGGACCCAATAGCAGAATATAACTCAGTGGTGGGTGTAGATTGGATTTTATTGTTAAGAGTTGTAAGCTTGGTTTGGACTGGACGAAGGCTCTGGGGGTCTGGCAGGTGAGGAATGCTGGAGCAGAGGTCAGGACTGAAGGCTGCTGGGCTGAAGAGGTGGCAGCTGTCAGGGAAGGATGGAAGCGGAGCTGAAGCAGGCAGACAGGAGATGAATGATCCTAAAGCACAAGGAGAGTGAGGTTAGACTTGGCCTGAAATAACAAGGAAGCAAACACCCATTTACAAAGAGGCCTAGATGTGGACCACTCAGGTAGACTGAATAATGTGGCAAAGAGACTGAAACCAGGGTTGAAATACTGCTGGGCTGACGAGATGATGGAACAGGCTGCAGCAGTCAGGAGAAGGAGTGGAGTGGAGGAGCTGGAGGGAATGCCACACTCTGAGACACACAGGCACAAAAACAGGGAGAAAGAGAGAGAGACAACACAGAAAACACGAGGGAAGGGGAAAAACGGTGGAGGCAAAAGGAGAGAGGGGAGCACACTGGGAGCCCAGACCAGGACCATGACATATGCAGTTTTGAGCACACCTTCCTTATAACTACACAGTGGTGTTCATGTAGAGTGAATCATCATCTTAATTGTTCACATACAGCTTCATGTCCTTGATTGTTATTGCTAGTGTATATCTGCATGAAGTAGGGTTGGCTGATCTATCATCACCCTGTGAAATTGCCAGTACTGAATATATGTTTTTTGGAGGTGGGGGTGGGGTGTTGCTTTGTTGTTATAAAAAAAACTATTTTAGCAGAAGGTTGTAACATACCAAAAAGTGAAAAAAGGGAAATTGTCTGAATACTTTCTGAATGTACTGTATATGATTATCAGATTAAATATCAATATTACTATCAGCCTCAAAAATCCAGTCTCTTCCTGGTCTACATTCAAATCAGGGTTTGCTGCTGCAGCTGCATCTTCATCTTCCACCACCCCAACCTCCTCCTCATGCGTGAAGCTTTTGGCATCTTAGGTGTAATGTTTGCATATTTGCTAAAGGGGGATTAGTGCTCAGAGAGAAGTTATTTACAACCACTATCCATCAACATAATATGCCTTTAAATGTGATGGAGGTCCTCATGGACTGTACATCTTATGTCATAATGTTCAGTTCAGAGTAGGTTTTTATTCTCATGTAGAACCTTAGCAGTCTCTCTTTTGTCTTCCTTTTTTGTTTTAAAGTGCTGCCTCTGTACATGGGTTAGCTAGCTCATGTGGTAGTCATGACCGGCCACATCAGGAATGAAAAGGGAGCTTGTCACTGGAAGGGTGCTGGTTCAGTCTCTGGATCACCTCTTAAGTCTTGTTTGGGGACGTAAGTTCCTACCGTTAACATGCTCATGATCAAGGCACCTACCAAGCTGCTCCCTTGTGTCTGTTCAGGGGCCAGACTGAAGGTTTGCTCCCAGCTCCACTGTGTGAAATGTGGAGTTTTGTCCTCTCCGTCACACTTGTCTTTGAGTTTGTTTTGTTAAAGGTGAACTCAGACAACTGTAGATTAGCTGGAAACATGATACTCCAAATCCTCTTGAGCATTCTGCCATTATCAGTACATCTACACTGTTAACATCAGGGCTGTATGGGTCCCACACAGATATGAGTTGATGAATACCCCTTCTTCATTCTTACTTGTTGTAACATGTTTTCTTTTATATCAACAGATTCACTAAACTTGCGCCCATGTTCCTCGATTCAAATTACAAGCGGTTCTCCAAGATCGGTGATCATTCACCTCCATTTGGAGTAAAATCACAAGGTATGATTACACATTCTTGTCTTTGCAGATGAATGTAATACAGATCAACTCAATGTAAGGGGCACTGCATTCCTCAGCAGTTAAGATTAGCTGTAAAACACCATAGCACTGTCAAGGCCTCAGTGTTCTTCAAACAGACAGAAGTGTTTCTGCCTGTTGTGAGTGGCCACATTTGAAATTGTGTTGCAAGCTTGTTGTCTTATCGTCATTGTCATTGTCATCAACATCAACATCAACGTCATCCTGGCTCCATCCCACTGCCTGCCTGAACTCTCTCTGTCAATTTTTGGATGGCAACAGTGAGGCCAGCCCGATAATTTTGATTTAATTTATGTCTGACTGACTGACTGACAGACTGACTGACTGGCTTATGATATTTCTACCATTGGTCAGTGGAATGCCGAACCACTCTGGAGAGAAGAAGAGGAGAGCTTCCAATACACTGAGCTAATGACCAACTCTACATATCAAACAGAGGGAGTTAGACATAAAGACCTGCCTCTAATAAAAGTCTGTTACGCTCTGGAGCTGAAGTAATTAAAGACTAAACTATTGTGGATCCAGACGGAGGCTGTGCTCTGTGTGAGGGACTGAATAAGAAATATTGTCTGTCTCGGGCCCCCATGGTTCACCTGGTGGAGCGCGTGACATTTGGGCTTAGTCCTTGCTGTGTGTTATCCTTTCTCTCTCTCCATCTGCCTCTCTTTGGTGATTTTGTCAGACGATGTAACAGTTATAAAATCAGGATTTGACCAGAGGTGGTCCAGACATACTAGGTTTAGACCTAGACTTGTTTCTTTTGCCTCTTTGACGCAATGAATCATACTAATGGGGATAATGAGCACCTCTTGTAACAATGAGACAGATGACACTGATACTATTGAAAATTTGTTTCAGTTTCATCTTCATCTTACTTGTTTGTTCTTCTTTCTTTCTCTGTCTCTCTCTTTCATCTGCAGAGAAGATCATAGATATTCTTCTTTCAGCTACTAAGAGCTACAGCCTTGGAGAAGAACTTGACAGGTAAGTTGGTGCTAGTTTCTGATACACACAGAGGACTAGGAGTATTTATTAACTGCTGACAGAGTCAGTTTATAACAGTTTATAACACACAGTGAGGTGCCAATGTTTCCACTTTCTTTATATGTAGTCCATTAATTAGTCATCTGACTTTGAAGTTACCATAAATAGCCTAAGCTACCATCATCTTTTAAGAAGAGCTTTTACGTAAGTACTCTTAAATAGCAATAATTCTAAAAACATACAGAAATAGACAACTTCCAGAAAATAAGATATTTCATCAGTGCTCATAAAAGTGTAAAAAGGTTAAATCTCAGTAACAAATTCGTTTTTCAATAGTTTATCAACCTAATATATCACCAGCCCCCAGTGGGGCTGTAATCGTTTTCACCTTGTGAATCTGTGTGTGTGTGTCATCGTGGCAAAATATGGTCCTGGAGAAACCTACTGTAGCGGGAACTATCACAGAGAAGGTTTAGAGTGATTTGGCAGGTGTTGACAGCATCACAACTGTACAACAGTACAGTACAGTCCACTGTAATTTACAACAATATCTTCAAATCTAGTTTTCCTTTTGACCATCTTGGGCCTCATATTCCCAGTTTGGAAATCACCAAATCTTCCCTGAAGTTTTGACCCTCAGAGTCAACACATAGATCTAATAAAACAGTGAAAGCTTTGGTTTTCAAACAGTGCTGTGATTCAGCACATTCTTCAAAAAGGTTTTCACTCTTTCTGCTGGTTTGCCACTTAAGGTTCCACTGTCATTGGTTTGATCCACTGGCCAACTACACGATCATCACAAATGATCATCATATATCTGATGCAGTTCTTTGTGCCTTTTACAAATATTGGACCTAATTGGTCAGTTCATGGTCCATTCATCTGTTATCTATAAAGTTGAGAGTGTGGCATATTGTAAACAAGATTTGTTGGGTAAATGTTAAGTTTGTCAATCTACCCTGAAACTCCAACATTAATGACTGGATTCAAGATCAGAAGTAACTGTATTGTTTGATTCCACCTTCAGTTGAAGTTTTTGTCTTTATATGGACCTGATCAGTTGTACAGACATGGTGTACTGACCCCGTTTTATCATCCAGCTAAGTCAATTAGGAATGTGTTTATTTTTCCACCCCGAATTAAGCAGTGCAGACTAAACACAGGACACATGTTGTACTGAGTCTACAGTACAACATTATAATCATAATATTAACCAAAGTGTGACACATTGACTTGTGTTAACTGCCCATTTCTGCTGTTAGTGCTTCAGAGTATAGATACTGAATAAAGAAGCTAATAATAAAGATGTTTGGTGTTAATTACCCATAACCCCCTACATTAGAATCCCAAAGACTGGAATGTAGAATGAAAGAATATATAAATATATAATATTGTGCATACAGTAATCACACTGTTGAGATCCAAATCTTTATTATCATTATCATCATCATTATTATCTCTACAACAGCTTGAGGGAATTTCTTCGAAATTGGTACAAACATTAACTTTGACTCAAGGACGAACTGATTAGATTTTGATGTTAAAGGTCAAAGGTGAAGGTCAGAGTGCCCTTAGTAAAACACTTTTTAGCCATAATTAAGACTTAAAAGACACACAGCAAATATGACAAAATTTCACACAAATGGTTCATAATTTCCATGACTCTGGATAAACAGTCATGTAACTTGAAACTAGTCTGACCGAAGAAGGCAGGCAACCACAAGGAGGTAATTCTAGTTTTTTTTAAAGTATATTTTTTTGGGCTTTTTTATGCCTTTATTGATAGTGCAGTAGAGAGAGACAGGAAATGGGGAGGCAGAGAGAGGGGAAATGACATGCAGCAAAGGCTGTCTGATGCAGGACTCGAACCGGGGCCAACTGCAGCGAGGACTGTAGCCTCTACACATGGGGCGCCTGCTTAGACCACTACACCACACGACGCCCTTTTCTTATAGAAATGAATCGAGAGGATGTTCAAATCCTCAAAAAACTTTCTCCTCTTTGAACATCAATAGATTTGGCATGCTTTCACCTAGAGACTTCATTTAAACTTTAAATGAATGACAAGACTTTAAGATATTTAAGTTGTAATCAGCATTTTGATATCTTGTACAGTTTTGGTTTATCATCATTAAATCATTAACATTATTCATTATCATTATTCATTATCATTAAGTTTTATGTTTTTTCAGACAGTTTCTGAGTATATAATAGTGTGTATTGCATCAGGCTAGAGTGGAAGATGTCACAGCTAGAATGGAGAGAAGTGCTTCAAGTGGTCAAAAAACTTCTCTTAAACTCATCCTCACAGCCACAAATTTCACTCTTCACACATTATTTCTTCCCGGAACATAGGGAAATTTGTCTTCTTTCAGACCATGTGTTTACCAAAGCACAGAGATGTACAGAATTTGAACTGTGATCCTCAGAATGATGAGAGTACCATCCGACTGTCCCATAGACTTCAATACAAATTCAAAAGTGGATTTTCAGAGAAAAACAGAAAACCCCCTTTTTTTTAACTTAAAGCCAATCAGAAGAGAGGAGGCTCCGAGCCGCATGATGGGGCATGATGTTACATGATGTTACATGATGGTACAATCTACTCTGAACAAATAATTTTGTTCAGAGCAGGTCTAGACCAAGAGGGATGGAAGGATGGACGGACAGAGAGAGAAAGAGAGAGGGAGGGACGGACAGACAGAGTGAGAGAGGGGGAAAGAGAGAGAGGGACGGATGGACGGACGGAGAGGGAGAGAGAGGGACAGACAGACAGACCGACAGAGACAGAGCGAGGGAGGGACTGGTAGGTAGGTAGATAGGTAGATTGATTTATTGATGATAGATGGATGGATGGATGGATGGATAAAGATAGGTAGGTAGATTGATTGATTGATTGATTGATTGATGGACTATAGATTGATTGATAGATGGATGGATTGATTTATTGATTGATTTATAGATGATAGATAGATAGATAGAGAGATATAGAGATTGAGTGAGTGAGTGAGTGAGTGAGTGAGTGAGTTCTTAGCTTTAGGGGAGTGTTAGTTGTCAACTGGTGGCATTCCGTCCTCACATGGCTTCCCATCTGTGACACATGTACCACAGGTGTTGTCACATGACATGATGCTGTTGTCATCAGGGCAGCCAAATGGCTGCCAGTTGTCCGGGTAAAGGGCTGGTGTTTGCTCTGGAGCCAGTGGGGCAACTTGTGCAGATCGAAGCACCTTCTTATTTATGCGGGACCTCATCCTCTGTGGAGCTGGCTTTGTCGCTTTCTTAAGCTTTGAGGTTGTGTCTTTGAGTTCTTGTCTTAAGTTGTGCTCAATCACAATCTTTTCATTTAGCAATTTGACAAAATAACTTGTTGTCTGAATCAGATGTTGGTGTGTTGTCCGCAGCCGCTCCTGCATATGTCTCCTCTCACTGCATTGACTCTGCTGGATCCTTACACTATAGTCAAGCTTTGTCTGTAGACAGTGAGCCTGATGTTGATAAGCTACCCTGGTATCTTTATCCACCAGGAAGTTCTCATTGTCTCCTATGTGGCGTCTTTTCAGGTTCAGGACTCTGACCCTTAGTTTCCCGGGCACTTCGATATCAGCCATGCACACAGCTATATCCTCCTTTATACGTAGCAGAGATGTTTTAAGCTCAGCCACCTCCTCCCTCAGCTTCATACGGTCTGGCTCACTGGCCTTTACTTTGTAGCTGAGATTTGTGATAGTTTCATTCAGGTCCTTGTTTCTGAACTTCATTTTATTTAACTCTGCTGCTGTTTCTTTCAGTTTGTCTTGTGTCTTCATGTTTTCCACCGTGAGTTGCTCGATGGAAGACTCCAGTTCTTCTTTTATCATCTCATAAAGAGCATTTCTATCCTTTGATGTAGTCCATTCAGACACAATGATGTCCTTTTCGCTCTTTAAAGAAATGATCTCCTCTTGTCTGTATTTGATCACTTTGTTTTTTGCTGTGATAGTGTCCTTTAATTTAGACACTGTCTCATTCAGTTGGCACACCTCCTTGTTTAGCTCTTTTGTAGCCTTAACATGTTCTTTTATTTTGACATTCTGAATTTCGTACTTTGATTCGTTTTTATATTTATAATTTCGGAAGTCATCCTTCACTTTTTGAAGGTCTTCTTCTTTATCGAGCATTTCCTCTTTCAGGATCCTCAGTCCTTTTCTGTGCTCCTGCTTTGTCTCAAAGAGCGTTTGCTGAAGCTTTGACACCTTCAACATCCCAGGCTCATATTTTTCTCTCAGTCTTCCTTCAAGGTCTTTCAGTGCTTCAGCTGCTTCCTGTTTTTGCAGCACCAGCCTCTCTTCAAAGTCTGCTTGCATCTGTAACTTTGCCTGTTCTGCCAGTTCTGCCTTTTCTGCCTGTTCTGCCTTTTCTGCCAAAGACTTTCTATTTGACTCTTGAGATTTAGTTAACTGCTGTTCAAGGTACATTTGAATTCTTCTAAATCGTTGTTCCTGATTGTCCTTGTCAGCTTCAAAAGCAGCCCTGTCCATGACAACTTTTTTATTTTCTGTTTGGCTGAGCGCTAATTGGGTTTTCAGCTCCTCATGAACATTTTTGGAAGCTTGCAGCTCTTCCTCAAGAGCCTTAATTTTAGCCTCAAGAGACTCTATTTTCTGGCTGTTGGAAATCTCTCTCTTTGTCCACTGCTCCTCGGCGATCCTAATTTCATCTTTGAATCTTTCATTCTGCCAAAGGAGGAATTTTTCTGGTTGTTTTTGTTTCTCCATTGTAGATGTGGAGCGAGTACACTGGTAGATCACACGTGCTGTGTCTGTTGATAACACTTGTGTCTGTTGATAACACTTGTGTCTGTTGATAACACTTGTGTCTGTCACAGTTGTGTTGTCTTGTCTATAGTATAATTCTAATGAGACAAACATTCCATCAGAGATAAAAGCCACTGGAAGTGATGACATCATGCGTGTGATGTCATGGAATCCTTTGAAGTTGAGCGGTTGCTGAAGAAATGGAAGAACAGACAGATAGACAGACAAAGAGAGAGAGAGACAGACAGACAGACAGGTAGGTAACAGACAGACAGGTAGACTGGAGCTGGAGCTCGCAGGCTCTCAGCTCTCAGCTCTTACAGCTGGCTTGCACTCGCAGAAGGGGAAAGCTGCTGAAGCTGGGAGCTGTAGAAGCTGTCACCTCCAGAAGCTTTCATTCAGCTATTAAATCTTATTAGGCATATAGAATCCAGAGGTGAAAGATCTATTTAAGATAGCTTTATCTTGTACACCTCATGGTTTATTTGTGATCATGAAAAATCTCAAACCATCAATAACTGTCCACTCTCTGGTGCAATCACACTAGTTTTTAACTGTGAAATATTTTATCATGTCTCAACTGTACACCAATAGTTTCAGTTCTGTAGCCATTACAGTTTTCGAGATATAAGTGATTTTATGTACTCCTCATTAAAATGTATGACTCTATTAAGACGCTGTTTACAAGCTACCATTGCCTAGTCATGCTTGATATTTTAAAAGAGGAACCATATTTCTAGCTATCACTATCTGGGAGACATAGTCATTTTTATTAAGCAATTATTGTTCTTGCATCATAGTGCCCCCTAGTGGTGAAACTGCATGTAACTCAGTTTTCTTATTTGGGATATCAGGCTGTACAATTGAATAGAATGTGGTTACAATTGGATGAAGCATTCAAGAGTTATAGCAGATTGAATTGATTCGACCACGCCCCCAGAAGTTTGTTAACCAGTCATAGAAAAGCGATACATGATATCCAATATCTAAGATGTGTATTGTGTTCAGGGTCATCAAAACATGACAAAGTTTGTTGAAGCTTGGATGAAAGATGTAGGATAGGGATTCAAATGTATGTTTTTCATATCATTCAAAATGACAGAAAAGTTTTTATGACGGAAATGGGTGTGGCCTACATCAAACTCTTCAGCATCATTCACTGAATCCATATACACAGATATTTTCTTTTACACCTCAAGGTTGCGAAGATATCAACCAAAACATTTTACAATATTTGTCAGCTGGTTTCTCACCAGATGGTGGCACTATCGTTACCATTTTTATATAGCTGAAGCACTGTAGTAGGGAGAAGCTGTTATAGTTTTTGAGATATCATCATGTTTCTTTCACTTCCCATAGGAAACCATTAAAAAACAATTGCTTGCAGCAGTCACACACAGACGTTTCTAGTTCCCTTGAAACTTGTGGGACAATAATCGACAGAGAAGCTACTATAATGTAACACACCTAAATCAGTGATGCAGCTTGTTGTCTTTAGAAATTACAGATTACATTGAATGGAGAGTGTGTAAACAAGTGTTTGTGATAAATAGACCTGTAAATGGAATGTCCAATAAGTTGTTGGGACTCATTCAAGAGACCAGATGTTTCTTTGCTCCACAGAAGAAGGAACTCACTTCTCCACTGTTCACACCTGGGCATGACCCTCCCCCAGGGACCTCACTGACCCAGGGTGTCACCAAACAAAACCAGATCAAGGAGCACCAAAGTTATTATTTGATATTTATGTTTTAATATTAATATTTTTTAAATATATGATAGCCAATAAATTGATAGACAACCGAAGAAACAACATCTATGGTGTCCCGCTCGTTAGCAGAGCTCAGACCCAACAAAGTGAATGATAATAATAATAATTAATAAGTCAATTTCATAAAGACAAAAGAACATGTCACAGAAATATTTGACATCTTATGTGAAATGTATCAATCAGTAACAACACAAGGCACTGAAGACCAGTCATTTTACTGTCTATCAATCATTTCAAATGAAATGGCCCAGCTATAAATCTGACTTGAGCAGGGTGCCCTCAGTAACAAGTGAGTGTGTTTAAAAAGTACAGACGTAAGGGATATAAACTTGAATATAAACAGATAATGTGCTCTGAACGGATACAAATGGCATCCAGGTGTGTGCTGAATTTTTTCCTGTCACCTGTTTGACAACTGCTTCCAAAAGAGAAAAAATGGGTTCATGATGGGATTCATTTTTCTATTTGTGTAGATTTTTTTTCTCATAGCACACTAAGCACACTAATTTTAACACACATGCTCATTTTAACACACCTCTTTTTTGCTGAGAATTAAGAAGAAGTAAGACATACTTCCCTTCAACAAAACACACAGGGTGAATGAATCAAGTAGTGTCGTACCACATGATAATCTTACATCTTGTCTGTGTTGCAGTATGAGCTGTAAGACATGCGTCGTCGTAGGGAACGGAGGAATCCTCGCCAACAAGTCTCTGGGACACAGGATTGATCAGTTTGATGTTGTGGTCAGGTATGTTATAACTCAGAAGCACCAAACTGCCGTGTGCTCTAAGGAAAAAGCACATACAAAAGTGGAAGCACAAATATTAAAGTTCCTCTCAGACATGTTTTAAACTGTGTAAAAATCCTCTGCTATGATTCATATTTTAATCATCTACCGTTACTTCCTGATTGAGAAACCTGGATCAGGCCTTGAGCCCCGCCCACCACCTGCTTGCTCCAGGTGGGCAGGTGAAAGAGCAGAGAGTATCAAGCTGGTTAGAGGAGGAAACATCAGAGAGACTCAGACACATGTTTGAGCCTCAGTCAGACCCAGACTCAGATGAGGAGTCTGAGACCAGAACCAGAGACTAGCAGACGTATCAGAACGGTTAGCGTAGTTAGCATCTTTTATTTGTTTATGTTTATTTGTTTGTTAGCTTGTTACTGGCCGTGGCTGACACAGTGTTAGTGTTTGTGCTAATGCTAACTGTCTCTCTCTCTGTACTGACAAGGTTTCAGGTTTATTTAGCCACGCCCCCCGTCCCCACAAGGTGACAGGATTGGTTCCTTAGGTTTGGGGTGTATGAAACCCTGGCTCTCATTGGTTCACTGCAGTTCAAGGTGGAAACACTCAGTCATGGTGTTGACTGATTATTTCACTCATCATGTCTTATATTATATAAAAACACCAGAGGGATGTTAACAAGGTTAAACACTTGATTTTCATCAGAGGGTCTTTAAAGGGAACAGCCTCCAAATGCAGAAATGTAATTAATACCAAAGCACATACAAACTGGTAAAAAAAAAACACACACTCCCTCTAGAGTCCTGGAGCACTTGTAGTTGTTTTTCCCTAAATTTGTTTGTATGTGTTACTCTTCTGGAATTGGAGTGTTTCCTGTAATATTTGTGTTTTGTCTCTCTTATGTGTTTTGTCTGTTTTACCTCTTTTTCATTTAATTTCGTATTATTTTCAGTCTGCCACTGGGAGCAGGATCAACAGTTATGGTTGATCTGTTGCTCAGAAGAGGTACAGACAAAGCTGATCTGGTCAGTCAATATCCAAGCTGAAAATGAAAGGAGGACAGAGTCTTGAGTCTTGAGCAGAAATGGCCACATGTATATAAACATTTGATGCTCTTTTAATTTATTATGTGCCTGCTATGCATAGCATTTGAGTAACCATGGCAACTTAAATGGCATGACATTTTCCCATAATAAATGAATGGAGAGATGTCGTGAAAATGACCAAACCCACTCCTCTTTGGAGCCATACTGCTTTGTCATACTTTAACATATAAACATGGTTGGAATTTTAAACTGGCCACTAAACTTTGGACTTTTTTGGGTTAAATCCATATTTTGATAACTGTAATGGTTTTCACAAAATCGGTTTTGTGTCATTTTTAGACCGTTTCAGATTTTATAATGGGTATGTATTGCACAGAATGTTGAGAGCTAGAGTGTATGACATCACACACAAACATCCATCCCTGATAATTTTCCTCCAAAAAACTCTGACAACCTCTTTTAAATCCAACTATTTCCAACCATCACAGTTTATTTCTATATAAACACATGGAGAAATTTGTCCTCTGTCACCCAGTGTTGGTCTCGTTGTGATATTTTTTACGCTTTTTGAAGAAATCCCCCGAGAGTGCTGTCCAAAGCTCCCATAGACACGCCCATGTTAAACTGAGCACTGAAGGTCTAAATTGAGGGGAGATTTTAAACTGCAATAAAACCTTAAACGTAAACAGTAGGTACACATATAATATATCCCAGTCTTTATTTAAGTCTTCGGACGCTGATAGTGAAGAAATCTTTTTGGTCAACTTGTGGTTTTCCCTTTGTGCTTAGATTTTCGGTGAAGTTTCATCTTAAAAGCTGTTGTCTGCCAAGGGTTAAAGAGGGGATTGTGTGCGTATTTCCCTCCTCCCCCTGGTGGCCACAGTCACCATAGGAACCAGTGTCTCAGCATGTGCTACTGACGCAGTATCTGGGCAGAAATGGAGAAAGCTGACTTTAATTGGCTAATGAGACTCATTAACACTTAGTCTTATTACTCTCAGCTATAACAGCAATTATAAGGTAAATCAACACTGTATGTGCATATGCGTGTGTGTGTGTGTCTGTGTGTCTGTGTGTGTCTGTGTGCGCACATGTGTTTCTATGATTGTGAGGACAACTTTAGTTTGAAATCATTCTTGTGATATCATTTTCGCTGGTCCTGACAACTTTAAAGTTTGTTATGAAGGTTAAGCTGAGGCAGTTCCTATCAGCATGCACACACACATACATTTAGAGACACACAAACACCATTTTCACCATATGGATATTCACCTTTTAAATAAGAGTGTCAAACAGGTAAGAGGCGCTTACTGGAGGCTCTGTTGTAGGAAGGTTAACTATACCAACACAAAGACACATGCAATAGTATCAGCAGAAATGCTTCAGGTACTCCCAGATGAATGTCACCATCACATCCAGCATCTGGCTATGATGCAGGACTCCCTTACATCCATTCACACAAAAATCAAGCAGCATCTGACATCTGATTGATATACACATTCAAAGGAGCAGCCAAATTCAAAACTTCTCCAGGAATTTTCTAGTTAATTTACTGCCTACTTGTGAATGTATTTTAAGGAGAGATATTTATATTTTCATTTGACACCTATTTAATTTATTGTTATTGTATTTAATCACTTCTTAATTTATTTTATTGTTAATTTATCTATTTATTTTTTGTCTGTTTTATTAGTGTAATTTAGTCCCATCCAGTATTCAATGTTTTAGTGGGTTTGTATGTTGTACAAGTGAAACAGCAATTTTGGGCTTTCTAAATAAAATTGACTTGTTAATTCTTGTTAATTAATTCTGTTATTGATCACAGCCTCTCTATCATCCGTCCTCAGGTGGGCTGAGGAAAGATCTATCATCAGTGATTATGAATGAAAAATTCTTACAAGAAAGCTTTCTTATTGTCCAATCATTATGTTTCATGACACCTTTTAAAATGAGCTTCACCAGCTGCCTGTGGATCAGATCATTCCCTCACCTCCATTAGAAAAGAGTTTTCTTTGTGCATCTTTTTACTTTCAGCTTTATTTAACCTGATAAGTCTCAATGAGATTGAAATCTCTTTTTCAAGACCTGGCCAGGAAGGCATCGTGAAGACATTGTATTTGTTGTTTAGACAAAATGACTTGGGGACAACTGTCACATGACACAAAAGAACTTCAGGAGTGACATCGTAACAATACAATCAGAGTTTCACTTAAGCTTTTATATTTGGTCTTTTGACAAATGCAGTTTAAACTGAGAGATTTTTAACTGATTATTATGAACAGTGCATTTGGGAGTGATTGATTTTGCAGCTGTGTGTTGCAGGTTAAATGAGGCCCCAGTGAAAGGCTTTGAGAAAGACGTCGGCTCCAAGACCACCATGAGGATCACCTATCCAGAGGGGGCCATACAGAAGACAGAACGCTACGAGACTCAGTCTCTATTTGTCCTCTCTGCCTTTAAAGCTCTGGACCTCAAGTGGCTTCGACACATGGTCTTCAACCAGAGGCTGGTAAGGCAGCTCAACACTGTTAATTTTGCCACTGCACCTACAAATGGAGCTATAACCACGTAGTTAGCAATAATAATAATAATAATAATAATAATAATAATAATAATAATAATAATAATAATAATAATTAACACAGAACATCTCAAAACAGTGACAAAGTAACAAAATGTTTTACATGGTGAACCCGGATCAAAACATTTCAAGACTGCAATGAGAAATAAAAATAATAGTGATAATACAAAAAATAATACAAAACTAAAATGCAATAAAATACTTCACAGTAATAAAAGATAAAAACAATAAAAGATAAGACATATATAGGAAATAATAATCACCAGTAACATCAAGACCCTCCTCAGCCAGAAAAAGGAGGCCTTCAGGGATGGAGACAGGGAGAAGCTCAGGTGTGAGCAACATGAGCTGAAGAGGAGATTAAAGCAGGTGAAGGAGGACGACAAAAAGAAAGTAGAGAAGAGGCTGCAGCACAACAACACCAGAGAGGTGTGGAAGGGGATGAGGACCATCACTGGCTATAAAGAGAAGAACAACCAGGCAACATCAGGTGATGTGGACAAGGCCAATGAGTTCAACCTGTTCTCCAACAGGTTTGACACAGCCTCACCTGTTCTCTCTCCCACTGCTTCAGCTGCAGCTTCTCCTACAGCATCTCCTCCACAACCTGACACTGCAACTGCAACTTCATCCACACTGCGGTCAAGTCTCCTGTCCTTTACAGTGGAGGAGGTGAGGGCGGAGCTCAAGAGGCTATGTCCTGGAAAGGCAACAGGCCCGGATGGTGTCCGAGGCTGTTAAAGGATGGTGCAGCCCAGCTGGCTGAGCCTCTCCAGAGGATCTTTGACTTAAGTCTATAAACAGGGAGGGTCCTGGTCCTGTGGAAAAAATCATGTCTTGTTCCGGTCCCTAAAGTAGGACGACAGGCTGAGATAAATGACTACAGACCGGTGGCCCTCACATCACACATCATGAAGATCCTGGAGCAGCTGCTCCTCCACCTTCTGAGGCCAAAGGTTGAACATGCACTAGACCCCCTACAGTGCACCTACAAAGAACATGTTGGAGTGGATGATGCCGTCCTTTACATGTTCCACCGAGATTTTTAGCACCATCCAACCCCCCATCCTTAAAGACAAGCTGGAAGGGATGGGGGTGGATCCCTGCTTCACATCCTGGATTGTGGATTACCTGACAAGACGACCACAGTACGTCAGGCTGAGTAACTGTGTCTCAGGGACAGTGATGAGCATCACTGGGGCTCCACAGGGGACAGTTCTGGCTCTGATCCTGTTCACCCTGTATACGGGCGACTTTAAATACAACTCTGAATCCTGCCACATCCAGAAATACTCAGATGACACAGCTATTGTGGCACATATCAGGAACAGGCAGGAAGAGGAGTACAGGGATCTGACCATGGTCTTCAGTGAATGGAGCGACAAGAACTGCCTCCTTCTGAACACCTCCAAGACTAAGGAGATGGTCATAGACCTTCAGAGGTCTAGGCCCTTCACCCAGTCAACATTCGAGGGAAGGACATTGAGGTGGTGCACACTTATAAATACCTAGGTGTGCACCTGGACAGTAAACTGGACTGGTCCCTGAACACGGATGCCATCTACCTGAAGAGTCAGAGCCGGCTCTTTTTCCTCAGGAGGCTCAGGTCCTTTGACGTCTGCAGTGAAATGCTGCACATGTTTTATCAGTCAGTGGTGGCCAGTGTACTCTTTTATGCTGCAGTCTGCTGGGGCAGCAGCATGTCAGACACAAACACAAAGAGACTGGACAAGCTGGTCAAGAAGGCTGGGTCTGTGCTTGGCAGGAGTCTGGACTCACTCAGGACTGTCTTGGACTATACCGGGGGTCGGCAATCCGCGGCTCTGGAGCCCTTCTGCAGTGGCTCCCTGTAGCTTTTAAAAAAAAAAATCGAAAATAAATAACAGCTATTTTTTATTTATTTATTTATTTTTCTTTTAAAGAGAACATCTCATTTTGGAGATCGAGGTGATACTGATAATATTTTGTCGACTAAAATATACATCACATCTTACAACGTCTCCATAGCAACATTTACAGCATACCGCCTCTTTCTGCCATGATAGGTGGCTAATCTGGAGTTTTGGAACCCCAGTAAGCTAACCATGGATAAATCCAAATAAAGAAAANCATGGTCTTCAGTGAATGGAGCGACAAGAACTGCCTCCTTCTGAACACCTCCAAGACTAAGGAGATGGTCATAGACCTTCAGAGGTCTAGGCCCTTCACCCAGTCAACATTCGAGGGAAGGACATTGAGGTGGTGCACA